CTAAGACCCATCTGAATGGGACACTTCAGTTGTTCCGTTGGCACCACGTAGGCGGTAATACAAATTTACACAAAGCTAAGCCCAACATAATTTTTGAGCCACCAATCACAAGTCTAGAGGTTTCTACGAGTGGTGCTACAAGATACCAGTTACCCCTTGAAGGATTCCCGTTCGGCGTAGATTCAAGGAGATACTGCGTAGAATCCGGTTCTAAACCATCGAATAGGGATGATGATATGGAAATTGTGAGGGACCCTTAGCCGGGAAACGCAACATAACATACGTACGTATCATAGAACCCTTAGGCTTCCACCGAGATGTTCTGTTACGACCAATTGATTAATCACATGCACGTCTCACTAAGCGAGTGGTTTGGGAATCAGATCATCTCAAATCTCCTGGGTCAGGCGAGTTGCACAGTACCAAGCTTCAACGGCGACATTATATCAAAGTGCTGACCGTCTTACGTATTAATTACGAGCCTGCATCTGTTACATAGTGCGCGGTCGCGTATGGGATAGAATACCCATACGTAGTAGAGGTCATGATATGATAGGCGAGAAGCAGTTGGTTGGGAGGTATTTTAAAAGACACAAACTTGGATGAATCGATATTAACAGAAGGTTTGTCGGGAGTAAAACCCTTCCCCTCATTTCCCTAGCCGTCATCAAACCGGAAGGCCTACATCGTACTGCTGTTTCTAATTCCTAACCCGCAGCACATTCTAGTTGTCGACACGGTCCGGACGGCAATGCGTGGTGCGCGGGAGAGGTTATAACGCGCAGCTCGCAGCAGCAGGCTGCAGCTTGTCGTCCCTGGCAGATGCCTTCAGCGTCCCTCGTGGCGCCGAGGGGGTCAACCCTGACGCCACGGGATTCAGAGGTAGATCGATCTCAGCCCGTGGTCGGTAGGTAAGGGGCTGGTACGCCGCTCAGAATAGAGCCGACGCTCATGCGGAAGCTTTGGTGGATGCTCCATCAGCGCCCAAGTTGATCAGGTGCCTGCGGGTATGGCACGTGTGTCTTATTCGGGCATACATAGCATATGTATGTAGGTATACTTGCTGCACGGCGGCAAGGAGGGAGCTCAGGGTTAAGGGCGGCTGTTTTGGATATTGTAATTGGTAAAGGGGTTAGGGGTGTTCTATTTCCATCCTGGCTATTGTAGCGTTCGCGAGGAATTTGTCTAGGTAGTTATTTGATTACCTACCTATCTTAGATATTAATCTTACCTACTTTACGAATATAATTTCTTCATGGTACGGTTCTAGTCCGGGAGTATAGAATTACAAAACGGGGAATCGGAATGAAACTCCTTTGTATGAACCAATTACTTGTATACGACGCTCGACGCTCGACGCTCGACGCTCGACGATGTGAAAAAGAGACGTTCTTATTAGCCCCGAGATATCGTCCAGTAGGGTATTTGTGGCTTAAGGTGCAAATAGGGCAATCCGACATTAAAAAACCCATACTCTGGTTCTTTAAGGTACCAGGTTTCCATTTATAGTATTTTTGTCTTAAATTACGGTATATTTAGCATTAGCCTCTTGTACGCTGCATGCTTCAATAGGAGTAAAGGGTTCATTTACATTATGTAGTACAAGGAGCTTGATTATCTACCTAATGTATATAAGCTGTCATTTATTCTTCATATTTACGTCATGGAAACTACCTACCTAAGTAAGCAATTAAAGATTACTTACCTACATAGGTATTTGATATGAGAGTATATATTAGAAAACGGAATAGATGATAATTTTACTTCTAGTTATATTACCTTATAAATACGGTAAATATTAGGTACATGTAAGTAGTAAACAGTAATGAGTTACTTAAATACGCTATAAGAGAGGAAAGGTTTATGTAAGTCAGCGTAGATAAACTGTCGACTAGTATACCCTAGGTACCTAACTAAGTACCTATACTAAGCGCACAGTGCCGACTGTATTCACCCGGCAAGTGGAGATTTTGCAACTGACGCAGACTTCTCAACTGAATTTTTGGAGCACCAACCAATCATAAGCCTTGTCTTTTATACTTTGTAAAAGCAACTTGCCATGTACCAAATTATTTCCCATACAAAACACAACTATAACACCGCACATGGAGAATTACCAGGTCGGCGTAGATTATCTCTCCGCTGGTGCCAATAGGCACACTGCTGTAGCAGATTGGAATGAAGATGGGATTGTAGCTTACGGAGCTGACTCTTATATCGCTCTATGGCGACCCCATGTAGGTCCAACTAATTATAATTCAAGGGTCTGATGTATATCTTGTTAATTTCTAATAATTTTTATTTCATTAGGATTTACAACCAAGAGGTGTGACAAACCTCATATCCGGACATAGTGGTGCCGTTAAGGCCGTTAGGTTTCTGCCCAAACTTGAGGGAGAGTCTAAAACTTATTTGCTCAGTGGTGCTGATGACCAAAGCTTGAAAGTCTGGGAACTTTCATCCGATGGCTCGGATATCACTACTGCATCCTGCATCCAGACTGCACAGGGCCATACGGCTGCAATTAACTTTATAGCAGCCTGCCATGAAGGAGCGTCGGCAACTTCGACGTCGAGGATATTTGCTACGGGAGCAGCAGATGCCTCGATAAAAGTGTGGGTTCTGGAAGAAGACAATGTTCGCTTGCTACAAACGATTAAGACTGCCCCGAAATTCTTCCCTCTTTCAATGGCTCTAAGTACGCTTAGACAGGATGGTGAAGCCTTAGTCCTAGCCGTAGCGGGGACTAGAGACATCGTCCAAATATTCGTGGCAAGTTCTAGAAATAACCCCGAGTTCCAGCTTCAGGCGACCTTATCAGGCCATGAGGGTTGGATTCGGTCATTAGACTTTAGATGGGAGAGAACTAGTCCCGATAGCGATTTGATATTGGCATCTGCGAGCCAGGATAAGTATATTCGCCTCTGGCGGTTTCACCAGGGTAAAGAGTTACCCGCTGCAACTGCAAATGGAGCTGATCCGTCTATGGGCGCATTCATGCCGGGAAGGTCTCCCTCAAACAAGGCCCATAGACTGAAAACTGTAGAAAAGGACTATTCTATCACATTCGAAGCTCTATTGCTAGGACACGATGATTGGATTTATAGTGCCAGATGGTACTCGGATCTATCTACCGGAAAACTCCAACTCCTTTCTACTTCTGCAGATAATACACTGGCTATATGGGAGGCAGACCCTTCATCGGGGATCTGGGTTACGACTGTACGGCTCGGTGAGATCAGCAGGGAACAAGGTGCCACTACAGCAACAGGCAGCACAGGTGGTTTCTGGACGGGACTTTGGTCACCGGATGGAACTTCGGTGGTATGCCTCGGGAGGACCGGTAGTTGGAGGTTGTGGGACTATAATAAGGAGCGAGATCAATGGATCCCACACATCGGTATTACTGGCCACACAAGAGCCGTCACCGGTATAGCATGGTCAAAGAATGGTGATTATTTACTTTCTACGAGTGCAGACCAGACGACACGGTTACACGCGAGCTGGAACAACGGACCTGGTAAAAAGACGTGGCATGAGATGGCTCGGCCGCAAATCCACGGCTATGACCTTAACTGTATCGACTCGCTTGGGAATTCCAAGTTCGTCTCCGGCGCCGACGAGAAGCTGATGCGTGTATTTGATGAGCCGAAGGCGGTGGCAAAGCTACTAAGTAGGTTGTGTGACATCGGCAATGAAGACGTCGAGGCTATGCCCGACGCTGCTAACATGCCGGTCCTCGGCCTCTCAAACAAGGCAATCGAAGCTGTCGACGACGATCTCGAAGTCCAAGTAGCCAATCCCGAGACGGACCGAGGCGCCTTAGATCCAGGGTCCACGGTCCGCAAATCCGTATTGGACATCGACCACCCGCCATTCGAGGACAGCCTCTCTCGGCACACCCTCTGGCCTGAAATTGAAAAGCTCTACGGACACGGTTACGAGATTTCATGCCTGGCTGTAAGTCACGATGGAACTTTGATTGCTAGCGCATGCAAAGCGAGCTCAATCAACCATGCCGTCATCCGTTTATTCGAGACAGAGAAGTGGACTGAAGTGAAACCACCATTAACAGCTCATTCTCTAACTACAACACGCCTACGATTCTCTCCCGATGATAGGTACTTACTCAGCGTTGGGCGAGACAGGCAATGGGCAGTTTTCGAGAGGGACAATGATAATAAGCAGAGCTATAAGCTCCTGCAGTCCAACCCTAAGGGTCATTCGAGGATGATCTTGGATGCAGCTTGGGCTCCTTGGTTCAATTCATTTGTATTCGCCACAGCGGGTCGAGACAAGCAAGTGAAGATATGGCGACACGCATCGCCCGACTCCGCGGAGTCGGGCATCACCTGCGTAACTACTATACCAGAAACTCATCCGGTCACGGCTGTCGACTTTTTACATCGTAGCACCGAGAATAACACCTTTCTCCTAGCCGTGGGCACAGAGATTGGAAATGTTTCGATATATTCGGTCGATGCGATATCACTCGGTGTATCATCAAAGTTGAGTTTAAAGCCAGAGTAAGTTTCTGTCATCTAATTTCTAGAATATCAACTACTAACGGTTTTACCATAGATTATGCCTGGCTAAGGCTGTTCTTCAACTCTCATGGAGGCCAATGCGATCTATGAATGAGCTGGCGATAGCTGGTGAGGATGGCTCACTTAGGGTATATTCGTTTCCAGAGAGAACCCCATGAAATTGGCTTGCTTTCAGCTATGCAAATGTCTAGATACGCACGCCTTTCTAATGGGCTTCTTGGAAGGCATCCGCGAGCCTATTGATACAAGTCTATCGATCCAAACGCCAAACTATCTTACACAAACACATTAACGCCTCATCCCATCACTCGTAGACTGGGCTGCACCATATACAAGCACCACTGATTACCATTATTATATCATTCGTCGTTTGCTGGTTCACACAAGAGAAATATGCCCGAGGCTTCATCCGTGTATCTTTAGATCCTCCACAGTCGGGGGGTTCTTCAAGCATCATAGCTCCCGGTTCATATATTCGGCCGTCTCAGTAGCCGCTGCCGCCATAGTCTTCGCCATAGATGAAGTTGCTAGTGATAGTGCGTCCTTATTGCCTGCGACCACATTGGAAGCAACCCCGCTGTCACCGCCATTGACGTAGAACCAGGCGCGACTGATGATGAAGAGAAGATGCTGGGGGAGGTAGAGCACGACGGCGATGGTCAATAGACTGCATAAGAGGAATACGACGGACCCTATATATAAGAGAGCAATTAGCATGTAGGCCATTTCAACCTGACGCTAGTATTGCAGCACATTTATCCTATTCATTTTCCCTGATGTAGGAGTATATCGAGGGACAGTGCTGCGGCAATGATAACGTCTATAAACAGATAACTCACAAAATATAAATCTCTCGGCCGACGTAAACATGTAGACACCGAACGTAACTTCAATCTGGTACTGCTTCAACCGAAGCCAGCGGCCGAACCGCTGAACGGCATTGAGGTTCTCGGGCTCTTTTGCTAAGTACTCCATCTTGATTATATTTGCTTCTTTTTTTCTTCTTCTTTTCGATACCTCTTATCTCTCTTGCTAGTTCCAACTCGAGTCTCTACCGGTCGGATTCGCGCGATATATCAAGCAAGTCAAAGACCTATGTTCCCCCGTTTGTCTTTAGGGATGTTTAAAGTGTTTGAAGAAAACGATGTCAACGGCGAAACAGATCTTGCCATATAACTAGTAGATATGTATGTTGATTGATATTCGGAGGCCTCGTCTTGTCTCGTGTCGTCTCGGAAGAAGTAATTCACAGAAGACAAGGATATAAGTCGAAGCGGTTCTCGAACCACGCACGCTCTCGAAAAAGGGTCTCGCAAAATCCACCGCCGGCCGAAGGAAAACGGGAACGCGTAGCTAGGTACCTAATTGGCGAATTGCCCTCAAGGGTACGGGTACAACAGCCCTGACAGCACGGATCCTTGCTGTTTGTTAACGGCTGCACTCATAATATGGACAACTTAATTGGACCAATGGAAATGGGAAAGTGGGAATTCCCCCTTTTACGGGGTAATCTTTGCTGAATTGTCGGAATTGCCTGCCGCGCTAATTTATGAAGTAAGGCAGGGTAAGGGTAAGGTACTTAGGTACCTAACTTACCTAAGTATTCACTATGTACCTCATGTATGTAATCTGAGCTGACTATATACCTTAGGTACATGTACCTATTCCGTAGGGAGAAAAAAGTAAGTGCCAGTGACGTCGCAGCACGGGTCTGACAGCTGCTAATGATATTTACTATGAAGATGCAGGATTGAAGTATAAACTTAATCCAATGTCATATAATTTAAAAACTACCTAATTACATGTAAAAGGGTCTCCAAATCGACAGCTTCTACCTCCAGCACAACAGTAATACCAATAATGCCCTCGCTACTACTGCGGCTGCAACCGCTCCGCAACTACCTTCCCTCCATAACTCGACCATCCCATATATATTCTACCACCACCACCACCACCACCATCGCCTCTCGACCGTCCAACTTCTCCACCTCCCCGCCTCTCCTCAAAAACACCAACCTACCGCCGCGCCCTAAGCCGCCTCCTGAGGAAGATATCGAGGAGTCCTTCCTAAAGGGCAGCGGGCCCGGCGGGCAGAAGATTGTGCGTGCCTACCCATATATATATCCATACCCTTCTTACCTACTATGCCACATTCCTACACACCTACATATGTAGTAGCTCACAGAAAGAATGCACTTGATTAACAGCCCCCCCAGAACAAAACCAACTCAGCAGTCCAACTCAAGCACCTCCCCACCGGTCTCGTCGTCAAGTCCCAAGCGACCCGCTCCCGCTCTCAGAACCGCGTCATAGCCCGGCAACTGCTAGCCGACAAGCTGGACCAGCTAGCCCGCGGCGACGAGAGCCGCTCCGCCGTCGTCGGCGAATTCAAGCGCAAGAAGAAGGCCAGCTCCGCCAAGAAGAGCCGCCGGAAGTATCGCAAGCTCGACGAGGAGAAACAACAGGCTCAGCCTGGGACCGCGCTGCAGGAGGAAGAAGAGGCTTTTGAAGAAGACGAGTTCGAGGAAGGCGGGGAGAAGGAAGAGGTTCAAGATAACCCGAAGAGTAGCGAAAGAATAGAAAATAAGCAAGCTTAAAAAGGTAGGCAGTTGGTCCATCTATGAGTATATGTAAAAACGTGAGAATTTGCTTCGTAATCACTTTTTGAAGTAATATAATCTATACCAGTTGTCATTACACTACACGAGCGAATTTACGAATCGTTGGAGAAATATAGTTTCTACTGAATCATTACGTAGTAGGTTTTTACATGCTTGTGGTTCACAAGGTGGCACGCCAGACTTATTAGTGTAACGAAGAAATAAAGTAGTATATGATCAACCTCGGCTGGAATTGTCTAGTCCACCCCGTGCTTGAATGGGCCTCCTAAAAGTAAAGCACCTCATATTCTCTTTTTCCCTGGGAGTAATACAGCCCCAATCTTTCGATCATTATCAGAATTTTTCGTAGATACGAGTCTCGACTGGGATACATTCGCAACGGTGGGAGCTCCAAACATGTCGCGCCCCGGTTGGGAATATTACGGGCTCGTGAGAAATTATTGGGTTTGTGGTGTTTCAGGCGCTATTTTATTGTTAGACCCGTAGATCAGGAGCGGAATTTCTCATGGGAGCAAATACCTTAGAAGCACTTGCGGTGAACGATCGAAGGACCGCTCTCGTCGTACTCCTGCTTGGAGATCCACATTTGCTGGAAGGTGGACAGAGAAGCCAAGATGGAACCACCGATCCAGACGGAGTACTTTCGCTCAGGGGGAGCGATAATCCTGACCTTCATGGATGACGGGGCCAAGGCGGTGATCTCCTTCTGCATACGGTCGGAGAGACCAGGGTACATAGTAGTACCACCAGACTGTAGATAGCAAATTAGTACTTAAAATTAGATATATTCAGAGAATAAATACGTACCATGACAATGTTGCCGTAGAGGTCCTTTCGGACATCGACATCGCACTTCATGATGGAGTTGAAAGTAGTGACGTGGATACCACCGCTCTCAAGACCCAGTACGGAAGGCTGGAACAGAGCCTCGGGGGCACGGAATCGTTCGTTACCAATAGTAATGACCTGACCATCGGGAAGCTCGTAGGACTTCTCCAAGCTGGAGCTCTGGGCAGCAGTCTGGATCTCCTGCTCGAAGTCAAGAGCGACGTAGCAGAGCTTCTCCTTGATATCTCGGACGATTTCTCGTTCGGCGGTGGTGGAGAAGCTGTAGCCGCGCTCAGCGAGGATCTTCATGAGGTAGTCGGTCAAGTCACGACCAGCCATATCGACACGAGCAATGGCGTGGGGAAGGGCGAAACCTTCGTAGATGGGGACAACGTGGGTAACACCATCACCGGAGTCGAGCACGATACCGGTAGTACGACCGGAAGCGTACAGAGACAGGACAGCCTGGATGGAGACGTAGAAGGCGGGGGCGTTGAAAGTCTCGAAAACAATCTGGGTCATCTTCTCACGGTTAGACTTGGGGTTGATGGGAGCCTCCGTGAGCAGAACGGGGTGCTCCTCAGGAGCCACACGCAGCTCGTTGTAGAAAGTGTGATGCCAGATCTTCTCCATGTCATCCCAGTTGGTAACGACACCGTGCTCGATGGGGTATCGCAGGGTTAGGATACCACGCTTCGACTGTGCCTCATCACCGACGTACGAGTCCTTCTGACCCATACCGATCATGATACTAGCATATTGTTAGATATTGTCGTGCGCGGTAGTTATACACGTAGTATATCGGATCAGCTACTTACCCATGATGGCGGGGACGACCAACGATGGACGCTATGTTAACATGTTAGGAAAGAATCCAAATTTAGGCCCATTCTGATGAGGCTGAAGCGGGGGCAATGGTTGGGCGAGGATGGAACTTACGGAAAACAGCTCGGGGAGCATCATCACCGGCGAAACCGGCCTTGCACATACCCGAACTAATATCAAGTCAGCTCGAGTGTTCTAACATTGTTTATTTCGAAGCCAGTATCGAAGGGTTTGGATGATGATTATTATCTACATCACCCCCTAAAAAGAAGTGCGCTTCGGGATGCGGTGAGGTGAGGTTAAATCTTACCCATTGTCGATAACGAGGGCAGCAACTTCCTCTGCGATGAAAAGTGATGTTAGCCATTGTGAACTCATTAGAAGCTCGAAGCCACGAGTTGGATTCGAGACAAGATCTTAGGTTGAGCAATAACATACCCTCCATTGTGATGGATTATGTAGGTTAGGTAGTAAAAGATTAAATTAGAAGAGAATGAGGAAGTTTCTGATAGCCCTTGCGATTCCCGGATCGTGAGAGCAAAGATGGTGTTGTTTTTCTCGACGTCTGCTGGGCAGAAGGATGACGAGAAAAAGGAGGTGTTTGGCGTGGAAGTTGATTTTAAGGTAGAGAAGTCGGACAAGTCAATTACTTCTGGGGCGAGAGTGTGGGAAAAAAGGGAGGAACGAAGTTGGCTTGATGCACCGATCCCACAGTCGATGGGAGGAACTTGTGGGCCGAAACAAAAAAAGAGGCGGGGCACAACCAAGTACAAATACGTAGGCCTATCAGAGACTCCATACCGCTTCAAAGTACCCAAGGTACTTTCTAATACTTTCTAATTTTACAGGGGTAAGAATGGCCTACGCACACAACCCAATTCACTTAGACAATTACAACTGGATAGAACCAGTGATACAACTGGATACAACTGGGTAGTGCACCTTCACCGCTGACACAAAGCGGAAATATGCCTAGTAATCTGGTAATCTGCCCAAATAAAAATAAATAAGCTCCTTCTAGTTAGGTACAATATTTACCTACCTAGGTACAATACCTTCTACCTAACGTTAAGTTACGTTGGTTGATAAACGTTAATCAGGTATCTTCGAAAAGCCTCACTTTGGTTGTTTAGTATTTAATTGGTATCTTGACAAGGCGTCACTAATTATTACAGGTAGGTACCTAATCTTTACGGATTAGCATATGACTGTGTATCCATCACTGATTTTATTTAGAGGTGCCTAGAATTATTATAAGTTCTACCTCCTCGCCAAGACTTACCGATAGACTAAGGTACCTAACCCACCTCGTTGTCGCGGTCAGTGTACGGTACCTATCTTAGTATTTACCTGGTAGTCAGGGGTTACACTTCAGGAAGTCTGCAACTTATCTCGTACTTGAAGATGCGCCGAGGACCGACAGCCCAGTCAATAACTTCCACACATGTGTTTGCAGTTTATCATGTTGCCTGTGGCTTAGCATAAGGGCTCAATTACGTATACTATTAGAAACTGTACTCCCATCTGACATCTGACATCTGACCTCTGACTTGATAGGTTTATTATGGGAAACTTGACGCCAAGCAGGCATCGCCGATACTGGTCAGAATTGTCAATCTCATGGGGGCGAGTGGGTTGCGTATGCAGGGGCAAAGGAACTTGTGCTGTCCTACCTTTTTTATCCCAGCCTCGCATACCTTCTCGACGACTACTTCAACTACGTATATATGATGATTCGTAAGGACACGCCCGTTCTTTTTGCTGATACGCAACTTACATGGTACTCTAGGCAGATACTTAAAGAGTGAGGTATAACACAATGTGCCGCGTATAACATGTTGGTTTCAACTTTAGAAACAATTGTCAAGTATTCACGACGCGAAAAGAAGAAGAAAAAAAAGGAGCTAAAAATCCGCTAACAAATAGGCTTCCCGATATTAATTGTATTATTTAATTGACATCGTGACATGGCAACTTGAACAAATTTTATAACCATATCTTGAATTGTTAGGGGTAAGGGCGGTCAAGACTGGAAGAAAAAGAAGGCGGGGTGAGGGGCATTCATGGTGGGGCAGCTCAATCATCATCATCTTTGTATCTTTGTTATGTTATGGCAATGACTGAAAAAGATAACGGCTATTAAGATGTTTACTTACCTAAGGTACCTACTTAAGGTATAATAGGATGTCTGATAAATATATCAGGCATTCAAGCCGCCTGTAGCTAACATGTATTAAAGGTATAAAAAAATAAAAATAAGATAGTTGTGCCTAATTCTACCTAAATTGATAGTAGATACCTCAAGTGCCTTAGCTGCTCATTCAAATAAAATTTCTCTTCTGATTGGCTAATATCTATATATTATCTCCACTTTCTCAGCTTATCAGCCCTGTCCTTGTGAAGCTTCGCGAATCTTGGGGATCTATGGAGAATATTGTATACCTAGTTACTCAGCCAAAAATTTGGCAAGTTGACGAACAGCCTAAGAATACAATACCTCTATGAAGGCTCTGTCTAAATTTTTCAACGTATTCAGTAATTTCAACATCTAAAACTAACATCTGAAATCGGCATCAAAATCTTCAAGGTGAACCAATCGCTCGGTACTCAGAACCTTGTCTCAGACAACGTAAAACGACGTAATCTACCAAACTTCAGCAACCTCCCTTGCTTGTTCTCAGCTCCCCCCGCGGCCGAAGAGAAAAAGGAAATCTTGACTTAACTATTCGAATTACAGCCATTATTTTCTTCACAAGAAATACCCGATCAAGAGTAGAAAAGATATCGCAAAAATGGCAAATGAAAAAGGCCTAAACGAGCTGCTAAAATGGAGCATCGAAAACTCCGCAGAGACCGACCCCTCGGCCCCAGAATCCACCGCGCCCCGGTCAACGCTGAGCGCGGAGGCACTCGCCGCAATCATGGGCGCGCCGTCCGACGCGGAGCTGATGCAGGCGTCCGTCGAGCACATCACATCCAGCGACCCGGAAATCACGCTCGAGTCCAAGATGACGGCCTTCGACAACCTAGAGCAACTAGTCGAGTCGCTCGACAATGCCAACCTTTTATCTAAGCTAGGATTGTGGACGCCGCTGCTCGAGCTGCTGGCCCACGAGGAGGACCAGCTGCGGCTTATGGCGGCGTGGTGCGTCGGCACTGCCGTCCAGAATAATGCGCCGAGCCAGGAACGCCTGGTGGCGCTGGGCGGGGTGGAGAGGCTTGTGACGATGGCGCTGGGGGACCGGTTGCCGGTGGAGAAGCGCGCGGGTGCTGGGGAGGAGAAGGAGACGACGAAGGCGGAGGAGAGTGTTACTGCTACTAATCAGGGAGAGACAAAGGATGTGCGCCGCAAGGCAGTCTATGCGCTCAGCTCCGCCGTAAGAAATTACCAACCCGCTTTAGACGTTGCCGCCAAGGAGCTGCGGAAGAGGGGCGAGGAAGTCCAGGAGGGTATTGACGCAGCGGATATGGATGCGGTGGACGGACTGATTAACGGATTGAAGCAGAGGGCTTTGAATGCATAAGGTTCGATGGTTATGGGGTATGGGACAATGGCATCATCGGCGTTGGTGGGCACATCTGGGTCAGTCAAAAAAGGGGGATCTACGTGGTCATGATACACTTGGAGATAGTCACTGGTTTCTATAATCGTAAAACACGAAATAGCATTACACATATCTTTGAATTCTTTTGATTTGTGATTCCGCATATATTGTACAACTGTATTAGTCTACAGCATCATCCCGACGTGGTAAGACGGTGAATATGTACATCTTAAGGGAACATGAGTGCTATGCCTTAGTCTACAAGTTTGCCGTAGAATGGGATACCCAAACTCATGCAGAGTATTCTGGCGTGTCTATCGGACTTTGCTGTTGTTTCGAGGGTCATGCGACACCCAGATATCATCTTAGATGGGTATAGCTAGATGCGCATGTAAGTAAACGGCTAATCCCGTTGCCTAACTTATTTTTGAAAACTTACAGAATAGTTAGCTTCGATTTCCGGGAAGTAGAGCATGTCCTGGGGTTCGAAACCCCAGCTGATGTTGCCGGTGCTGTCGCCGCTGGTGCCTAGATTTTGTTAATGCCGAGTTTTCTCAGAATGGTCACTGGATACAAACCTTCAATGCCCTTCCAATCCTTGATCTTTGGGAAGACTAAGTGGATGACCTTGTCCATGAACTCGTAAGCATGGTCTCCGTATAGCGAGCATTTTACGCCTGTCCTGTCACCCTTGACAATACCCCACTGGGAAACACTCGTCTTGGTTGTCGTAACCTCAGGGCGGACACCTGTAATAGTCCGCAACACTGCCCTTCCCACAGTAATATGGTCCGGGTTCTTCTTCGCCTTGGGCATGTACATAGCTAGATGTACCGCCCTGATCTCGGGAATATTCTGCCAGGTGATATTCTTCTCGAGCGGGAAGAGAACATCGGCACCTCGGGGCCCTCTCTTAGGTCGATTTTTCATATAGGGCGATGTGTCGTCCCATTCCCTCAAGCGTATCCTTTCAGGCTTATCAGGTGTTCCAGGGGGAACATGCTGGTACATTAAAGTCATGATGTCGGAGGCAGTTGTCGAGTGGAAGGTTTGCTTTAGTCGGGGGAGGTTGAACGGTCCAGGCGCGAAATCTCGAGCAACAGGATCTGAGGATGGGGGTGGTTGAACTGGGTGCAAAGGTCCTCGGTCAAATTTGGGAGGATGATATCGGTATCTACGCGATCGAGATTTAGCAATCCATTCCTCCGCTCAAAAAGTTTATCGCATTGTATGTCGAGCCTACCTCTCGTGCGGCAATTCGTAGTTTCTGCGACTTGCCCTCTTTCTTGGATCCGTAACTTTCGCATCTTCCCTTGTGACAATTGGTGCCGTTAAGCCGGAATCCTCCTCAATATCAGGTATCACGGGTGTAGCGCTGGTGGATGCACATCTTTGAATAGTGGCCGAACAAGGCATCCAACGCGAGGCCGTACCAAGAAGCTGACGGCCAGCTCGAGGGGCTTCTCTGAGAGCTGCCATAATGTCTCGCGCACTCTAACAACGAATTTCTCGCAGCCTACTCCACGCAATCGATCTACAGCCTCAAAAGCTCAAATAGTCGGAAATTTCCTAGGCGCATATCTATTCCCACGGTCCCACAGCATGGGAAAGTTTTTCGGCGAAACCACTAATCCGAGCTTTATTTAAGATAATTCTAGCTTTATGATTGGTGACTTTTATTACGTAGGTCGTAATCCTAACCCCACGTTGTGTAACCTAAGGTAGAGATAGGTACATACATGTTTCTCATCATCCTAAATCGACCTAGATTCTTATCAATATACAAAGTACAGGTACCTAATGCACTATGCAGGGACGCTCCTATAGGTGTAATGGTTGCACGACAATCTAACGTCGTAACTATTTCACTTGGGTAGTTGAGGCTATTCCTATCAATTCCGAAGGCAAGCATGGATTTTAAGCATTCAATATTATTACACACTAGATTGTAAGATTTTGGTGAAGGGTTAAGATGAAGACACCTCACATTACCAACAAGTTGTACGTTATAAATATAGATAGATCAACCGATAATACATAATATATATCGTCACTTTAGGTAACATAAGTTCTATTCACCTTAGATACCGAGGAGGCTCGGAATACTAATAGCACCCGACAATGCGGTGGTATGTCGATCAGCTGACAAACCCTCCATTGTACAGTAGCGTTCTTAAGTGCTATGGCTACGGATACTAGCTTGTCTTTTTTTGGTATTGTATCACGATGGTGCTCGTAACGGCACGACTATATATGCATATACAATATTACTCATTACGTACCTAATATACCTACATAACATATGGACATATCATGAGACATGGAAGCTGACAACGGTAAGGCTGAAAAAAGCAAGGTATTGTACATACAATACATGTACATCGTACATCGTACATCATCACTCGTAGGCATCAATAATTCTTAGATTGCCTATTACGCATTTCATTACAGCCGCTTTCGCATTCGTGCTTTGATTCGACAAAGACTTTAACTTCGTTGGTTTGGGTAATCCAACCTACATCATTCCTAGGACCACGGGCAATTAGCCAAATAGATCGCCGACCGAAGGATTCAAACTTACATACACATGCTTAAGTCTACATATATAGGTAATACAGAGTATACTAGGTACCTAGGCGGCTAACGAGACCAGTGAGATCTCATTCGATCGCCTGCAGCGCCGAGGTCCGCCAATGGAGTGGGAGAAACGGCCCTTCTGGATTTCTCCTTAAGGAAAAAAGGTTCCATGATGTCGGAGACATATTATTAAAGGTTAGTTTACTTTGTTTTCCTCGTCCCGAGAAACCTGCCAGGTGCCTCCCCTAATACCTGCACCATGCCTGCTTAAGAAGTTGCAAAGGTGCACTTTGGCGTATTTTTGAGTTAGGTGAGGTCTAGTGTACTTGATTAAAGTTGCGCTTGCTACATCTTTATACATTTCAATGAACTTTAAGTACCATACCAGCGTAGATGGAATGAAATAAATTTAGTTTTATCTGCCTCTTGCCCTTTTTTTACCTTGAAAGAAACTTGCCTCAGGTCTGGTCTCGTTCGTTTCATTCTCCCCTTCCATCAACTTACATAACAGATTTATTATACAGCCCATGTCTCTTTACTCTTAGCGCCTCACCTTGCCTAAATTCGAGAAACATCTCTCAACAACTGATTAATTAGAACCCGTGGTTGAAAAAAAATAAGTCTCTTCCTTAGTTAGTTTACATCACGCGAATACGATTATATAATGTAATCAATTGTCAAGACAAGATACAAACAACCTTGGTTTCCCCATATTAGATCGACCATATCTCACTACCTTTTTTTTTGGACCCTTGACGACGCGAAACGCTCAGTCTTCGTTAGGAACTTTACACGCAGCGCAGAGCCCCGTACTGCCACCGCTGCAACAACTTAGTTCTTCAGCCTCTGAACTTCCTTGGCTGCTGCAAGCTTCCGTTACATTGCAAACAATTCTTCTTGTCTCTCTTATCCTTCTACTTTTCTCTTTCTCTCTGAATAAACAATTCGACTTTTACTATCATTTTGAGCCATGCGAGTTCCCTTGTCGTACCATCATCATCTCCAGCCTTAACACCAAGTCCCAGTCGCATCGACGCTCGACCCAGGCTTGGCACACCGTCTATCGGCAGCGATAGTTCAAAGCGTCGAATTTTATTTTAAAAGAGAAAGGCCAAAGAGGAGTCGCCCGTCACCGTCGCACAGCGCATTACCAAATACGAACATGAGCGAAGGCTGGTGCCGTTGTTGTAAATCATAAATTATCAACACCTACTACTTTTAATCCCCTCGAGCCTAGCCCCCTAGGCCAATCTTCAAATGTTGCGAGACCCCACCATGAAGACTAGCATTCCTAGGAAGTTCCTGAGTCGCCGCGAGAAGAATGGTCACCGTCGTAATAGATCGTCCGATCCGGCCCATAAGGTAAGGTGACATTGAATATGTCACGTCTCCATCTTAATAAGTAACTTGCATTCTAACTACATCTCTTCAGCAACACCGACCTCTATCAGCCGAAGCCTTTTTTTCTATATTCAAACCAGAATCTCGACAGTCTACTAGCGCCGGTACAGAGCGAGAAAAGGAGGGAGCTAAGGTGTGTCAACGCAAACTTCGACATTCACCTGCGCTTCAAGTAACCCTAATCGTTAATTCGAACAGATCGACGATATACGACGGCGAGTTGCCGACCTAGACTTTCCCATCCTAAGCGACGATCAGATTCGATATGTACTTAATTCTAAATATTCCTCCGGCGATGTCGATAAGGCTATGGAACTGCTGCTATTACAGCATGTCTCCCTCTCCGGCAAGATTATCAGTTACAACCCAGCGGTCCACATGCTTGGAGCTGAAAATCGAGGGAATGTGACCTGCTATCTCGACGCACTACTCTTTGCCATGTTTGCTAAACTTGAATCGTTCGAGTGCATGCTCAAGAGCGACTCTATGGATGAACCACAGAGGAAGTTAGCTGCGCTGCTCCGACTTTGGGTGAACATGCTAAGAAGCGGAAAGTTGATCGAAACAGATATGGTAAGTATCTTTTTTTTCCCTCGAACGCAAGACTATTTACAACGGACCTAATACTAGGCAGACCCAGCACATTCAGGACGCCTTGGCTGCATGTGGTTGGAGAGATGCACAATTATTAGAACAGCAGGATACATCCGAAGCCTTCGCATTCATCACGGAGACTCTTCAACTTCCTCTCCTTACTTTACAAGTCGACTTGTTTCATCAAGGAAAAAACGACGACGCTGATCACAAAGTCGTATACGAAAGACTCTTGAACCTTGCCGTACCACCGGATAATAACGGAAAGGGAATTAAATTAGAAGATTGTTTAGAGGAATACTTCAACTCTCAGGTCGATGTACTAAGAGACAGTCTGGAGGAGAAAAAGGCAGAACGATTTGAAACGATGCCAAACTTACAACCCCTCGATACTTCCAATGAACCTAAAAGTACGATTCGGGTCGTTACCGAGGAAGATCAGCAAGAAGGTATCGCACCTGAATCCGAGCATGGCCCACATTTAGAACGAAGGTGGACAATAGCCCAAGAATCTCATCTCTCGGACCTCCAAACGAATTCCGAAGCGGGAGCTTCAGGGCCTCAGACAAATTTACGGCCACATAGAAGTCGAACTGAAAGTATAATACAACGGGTTGTAGTCGATGAGCAAGGCAAACCGTCTGAACCCGATACCGCTAGTTTGTTTCAGAGAGCCAAGCATACAGCATCGATTGTTAGAGCCGTGACAATACCTGCTTGGCAATTCTTCAGACTTATACGTACGATTTTCTACTCTCTTATAAGGGTTATGAGACTAATAGAGATCATAGCGTGGCATTCCCCTGCGAATAAGGAACCAGAGAGCGACCTGGAGGTTGCACGACACTTTAGTCAACGACCCGTTGTCGGGATCTGCCTGAAACGGTATATGATGGATACGAACGGTAACATGAAGCGGCAGAACACGTATATCGATATTCCCGATAGCTTGAGGTTGCCACATTTCATTGTCGACGAAAGACATGTAGAAGAAAGTGGACTTGCTGCTGAGTACAAGCTTGTGCTTCAATCTGTGGTCTGCCACCGGGGGGATTCGCTACACTCCGGCCACTACGTCTCTTTTTGCCGCGTAGCCCCCAAGCTCCTCACTGATAACCGCAGACATGATAGTGATCCGCCTCCAGATTATGAAGAGGCACAGTGGGTTAAATTTGATGACCTTGCGATTGAAAATCGGGTAACCCTTGTTGATGACATAAAGGAATCGCTCAAGGAAGAGATGCCTTACTTACTCTTCTATCAGATTGTCCCGATAGTAGAGGTGGCAGCCAGCTCGACCGAAAGCACAGACATGGAGCCGCCATCATACGACGACGCAGCCCTCAATTTAACTAATTCAGAAACTTCAGCGACACAAAGTCAGGAAAGACTCTCGGTCTCCCGTCGACCAAGTAGCTACTTTGATAACTTGGCCCCCCAGCCGGCGACTAACGGTGGAATACGCTTTTCGGCGGACTTGGAGCCGCCGCCACGTCGCAGTTTTGCGGATGATGATGGATTTCTTAGCGTATCCCGACGAGGCAGTGTCTACAATGATTCCGGTATCCCGAGCCCCGCAGCAGTATCAGAGGGACTCTCACCAGCTGTCACACCTGGGGAGGAGACTACGGCTCAAAGGCTCAGCCGGGCCGCTGCGAGATTCAGAGGCGGCAATAAAAGTAGACCCCATAGTCAAGCTGGTGAAGGCCGCAAGAGCTTGTCGGTTACTAGATTCGGGGTCTTCATGAAATCAAGCAAGGAACCGCTACGGGACTCGACATCGATGGAAACTGAAGATGATTACGAATTCGTAGAAAACATCGAAAAGGAACGTATAAAAGAGAATGATGCAGATATCACTCCTACACCGAAAAAAGGGAAGTCGAAGTTGCATCACGATAAAGGCAAGGGGAAGGATAGTAAGAGAATAAATATGCCAGATAGGGAATGCATTGGTAAGTATATCAGCATTGTTCCCTTTTACCTGTTACATGGCGCGGTCTACTCAAGATCACAGCTGGAGTTGTGATCTAGCGATACAAGTGCGATTTACTTGACCTCCTGTGCTCCTTTCGTACAATTCTCTGCAGGTGCCTCTGCTAACTTTGGGTGTTCTAGTCCAGTAGTGCTATGACTTCATGTGGATGGATTGGACTATTGATTTCAGATACAAGATACCCGGCAGGCGTTGGTGATACACGAGATTTGCCGCAAGGAGCTTCAAAAACGAGACAGGTTGATCTGTAGGCGTACTCAGGTAATGAGCGAACTTTCGGTTAAAATATATCGCATTAATACGGGACGTGAAAAATGGGTAATTGGACAGCATTCAAACGGCGTCTTTTTAGATAGCGAGTGTACTAAAATACATCTTCTGCTGCGTCTTGGTCGCAAAAGTGGTCTCGTAATAGAGCCTGAAGTTCGTGGTGCATACTTTTGCATCATCTTAATTAATTATACCTCAAATTTCATATACTTTCTATAATATCTCGTTCTATGGTTCTATGGTTTATTAACATGACTATTAAAGCCCATACCTGTACTAATATAAGAAGTATAAAATGTGCGCTCTAATTAGAGGGATGTATTAGGTAGATAGTGCACAGGCCTGATAGATTGATAAGTTTATGAAGAGACTGGGCTAGGAAAGCCTTAAGAACGGGCGTCAGACCACTACAAGCATATACTGTTTTTTTTTTTTTCACATCGAGTTATAGATAAGATACAAGTCCGGCCGACCTATACCAGCATTGCGGGGTTTAGGAGCGGAAGGTTGCGGAAGAGCCTATTAGCACCTCCCCTCCGGGGCTGCTGGCGGGAAGCCCGGGGGCGCGGCCCCATAACAGGAGATCCGGTCCGCTAGACGAGGAGGGGCCACCGTCGGGGCGGAGCGGACTACGCTAGATGGATATACCCCCGGGGATGGCCATCGGAGGGCTTTGGTAGATTGGTATAGGCAAGTGGATACTTACCTAAGTATATACCTACCTAAGGTACCCCTTGACAAATGGTTCTGATAGATTATATATCAGATAGACCTATTGGTGGTTTTGTATATTAGGGGCGCTGACGTAGTAGAATAGCACGATAGATGGGACCGGTACGAAGATATTCTTTTATTGAGTCATACTAGAGATTGTTTGAGAAGTGTATATGGAATTGGGTTTCTGTTTTTTATAATTGAGTACCTAACTACCTTTCAATAATTCAGCATGAAAAGAGGCACTGCGGAGAATAATATATTAACAAGAAGGGAACGGGAGTATATAGTATTCGAAAAGACTAATGGACGGACGGTGCTTCCCATATATTCGCTTAATTTCCCCGAATAAATATATAACTACATATAAGTAACCATTACGTTAAGTCATACAGTCAAGATTATCCTATAATAAATACCAATTTTGGCATTACTTACGCTCTGACTTAGGATTATCATGTAGTTAACATAGATAGAATAGACAAATACTTATAGCTGGTCCCTTTCATCTCTTAGTTTCGAAGAATTTACATTAACATAGAAGTCCTCTTTATCATGATGTTTCTCAGGGTTAGTTGACTGGAATTTAGTACAACACTAAATAATCAATATTTGTAATAGTGTTGTGTGAGTCTTTGATACCGACGCGAGCCGGTGGCCTTTTTTCCCTCTAGGGATTACCAATAGGGGTTTCCCCATGCGACCCTAACTACGGCAGTGCTAGAGCCGCATCCTGTATTCAAGGAATTGTATAGTTATCCCCTTCATGAATGTCTCCCACCGTGGCTCTCTATTTAGGGTTATGTAGAAGCAGCCTAATACATTGGTATGACGTGCTTGGTATTTCTATGAGCACATATGCTAACTTTTAACGCGGCTTAATCTTCATCTGTGATCTTGTCCATCACCGCTTCGGCCGCCGTATTGACTACTTTCTCGGGCGGCTTTTCGATAGTAATAGGCGGTATCGCAGGCGCGGAGAGGCCTCCACCTGGAAGCGGTGCTGGAGCATTAATATCACTGTCCGGCACGGGAATCCGTATATCCTCGGGGGAGCCAGGGACAGTCTTAGGGTCGAGACCTGGGATATGAATACGTTTAGCATCATTCTGGTACGCGCCTGGGATGACCTCGATAATTTCGTTCCGTGGGAATTTGAGATTAGGAATGTCCATAGTGCTGCAGTGCATAAGATACGCATAGAGGACTCGTAGTACGCTCTCGTGAGCGATGATTAGTAAGTCGTTCTGCTCACGTTCAAGCTCTAGAATAATTGGTTCGAGTCGTACAGCGAGGTCGTGGTAGGACTCGGCGCGCGGATAACGGTGGTGATAAGGATCGAGTTCATGCTTCTCTACTTCCTCGGGGTAGAGACGGCGAATAGCGCGTTCACTTAGCCTTTCACAGACTCCTGGGTTAATTTGGGCCATCTGACTTCGCTGACGAACTTTGTATCCGAGCTCCTGAAAGACATCTGCTGTTTGCATTGTGCGCATACGTGTTGAACACCATACCGCCAGCGGACGCAGCGGCATATCAGACCCTCCTTCTGCAATCCGTGCGGCTCGTTCTTGCTCACGGTGCTTGATCACCGTCTCTGTCATTATTCTAGCATATTTTTCACCCTCTTCGGATAATGGCGGATCAGCTTTATAACTTTCTTCTTCCGTGGCAGTACCAGGTCGAACGAAGAATGTTGCTCGGGACTTGATGTGAGTGTTGGTTAGGTAGAATACAATGCGGTGCGAAAGATAATTGAAGGACACGTTGTTGTAGAAGAATTTCTGGCCTGCATTAATCATTTTGATATAGTTAAGCTCTTTTTCGTCCATAGTCTCAAATGCCGGTATCTTGGTCTCCATACGCGTGAGGTATAGCTTAGCAGCCTCGTCAGGATCCATATTGGCGAACTGCTAATATTAGTCATGCTTGAAATAAGAAGGACATTTGGGTGCCGTACATCAGGGGATCCAATCTTGACGTTACGTGCGTTCTCTCGAAGGAGGTTGTCATCGTCAACATAAGATTCCAAGAACAGGGTCTGCCATATCGTTAACACTAATCTTTCACTTAAGGATACTCTTTCAAATAACATCTCACCTGAACGTCATGCTTCGCAAATTCTTTGGCTAGTGAACGACGACCACTTGCAGTAGGATTCACTGCATCATATATTGCTACCTGGCCGTTTTCATGGTTAAGCCAGCCGTAAATATCTTCACGACACTTCTTGAGAATTTTCTGGCGTAAGACGATTGAAGCCGGCGATGCGTTCGGATAGAAATAGTCTTCGGGCACATGGCCACCTTGACCGACGGTAGCTCGACGGTAGTCGCCGAGGTGAAAAATCCGTGTCTTGACACCTAACCTAGAATATATGAGATCAAGCTCGTAGTGCTAGGGTAATTGACACTAGGTACCATTGTAGATATCGTGCTAATGAGACAGCAATATGACTATAAAAGCGTCAGCGCTCGCGTAACATACGCAGACAGAGTTGAGACCTACGTCTTGCCTCGAGCAGGAAGTCCCACCATGACAATAGCGATACGGCCAGAGTGGAAAAGCCTCCCTGACATAGTGCTGTACAGCTGGGCCGGGGCCCTATCACCATCTTCCGGAACATCGTGAATGCCGTCGATAAAGGTGCTGCTCTTACGCCGGTACCTCGGGGCATTCGCGGCGATATCCGCAGTACTATTAGAATTAGCATCAGAACATTCTTGGCATTGAAATTGTGCCATAGTGAACCTCGCGCCTTATATTCCTTAGAACGGGACAAGAAATAGAGCAAATATGACGATGAGGGCCAGGGTATATAAATTGCAAAACTAACAGAAACCAGCCCCTGTCCTACCAGAGATATCTTTACCAGCCCGATGCTCCTAATATCCAAGAGACCGGGGTAAATGCAGAACATATGTCCATCCCTATAAAAGTAGCAAAGCAACTAACTATCCGTCTCGTTATCCTGAACTTGTACCTCAAGGACCTCGCTATGTAGTATGTAGATGCGCCCAAATATCAAGACAATCATTAAGCGTGTATATTGTACTTACAGTAATGTATCCATAATGAAAACAGCTTGGTTCGGATTTTTTGGTTGTCTAAGCTATTAAGTGCCAAGGTAGTGATTGCACTAGCTCTCGAATCTATATTCTCTTTACCTTCGAAAGGGATGCCTCGGAAAGTAGCCTGCTAGTTATGAAAATTGAAGTCTGAAAGCGACTTTAAAGTTGATCTTCTCCGGATTATAGTCAGAGCGTAAGACCTCGGTTAGATGAGGAATTACCAACTCAGGGGATAAGCTGAGGGCTAGCAGTTTAAGACCTGTTCGCCATAGGATGTATCCACAAGCAGACTCAGGGGTAAATTATCACTTTTTTTTTGTTTTGATTTTCAAAAAAGATAGAAATATGGATCTTTGGTGGAAAAGTCAAGTTTGAAGTCCCAAGAAAAGCCCAAGAACAAGATATAGATTTGCAGTAAGAATTGGCCCGACAAAGCTTGAATAGAGGGTAGAAGGTGTTGCACCAAACGCGAAAACAAGCTTTTAAGATATCGAATAAGTTGATTGATCCTTCACAAATATAGAAGAAAGCGGGTGCTGCTTCATGCACATGTGGATTTGGAACTTTCTTTCAGAAGCATCTATGGATCTGAATAAGGCGGCTGAGACTAAGTTTACGTAAGGACGTAAGGACATAAGGACGGGGAGAAACGGGTGACGCAACTTTTAAGGTTAGGTACTATGTACGTCACAAAGGTACGTACCTGTTTATCTGCATGTGACTTAGGATTGAACCTTGTGCTAGCCGTACCAGAGCTTGGTGGTTCGAATAAACAGTTCAATAACCGTTTACCTTTTTGACCCATATTTATACTGTTTATTTCATTTAAATATTCAGGATCAAAAACGTTAGCCATTCTTAGCGTTTACCACTATTTTAATATCAAATAATATCTAAACGTTTAAATTTTTTTAAACGTTCAACTTTTTAAATATTTAGCCTTTCGAATATTCAATATAGCTTCAAATATTTAAGCATTTATATGTACTCCCGTCGTTCCCGTCGGTCTAAAGGCCTTTATCACGGCCTTACACCCTTGTCAAGGCCATACAAGACAAGGTCTAATTTAAAATCAAGGTTGTACAGGCAAATCTGAGGCAATACAGGTATACAGGTATACAGGTCTATATAAAAGGCCCTCCCTCCCTTCCCATCATCTTTATTTTCTTCTAAGTCTTCAACTTCTTGACCAACCAGTCAGTCAACCAGTCAGTCAACCAGTCAGTCAACCAGTCAGTCAACTAGTCAGTCAGTCAGTCCCCTGACCTTCTAATACCTTAGCTAATTAGATATATAACCAGTCTCCTAGCCAGTCTCCTAGCCAGTCTCTTATATAGTCCTTTAGATAGATAGTCCCTTAAATAGTCTTATATAATCAATCTTTCAACTGATAATTGTATTCGTAATCTATTGACTGACTGACTGACTGACTGACTGCCTGCCTGCCTACCTGCCTACCTGCCTACCTGCCTGCCCCCGTATCTATATGATATACGTACCTACCTAATTTATACCTTCCCGTCGCTCCCGTGGCCTTCCCGTGGCCTTCCCGTGGCCTTCCCGTGGATTTTGTAGCTCTTTCTATAAACGCTATAACGTTTGAAAGTAAGTGAAACGTTTAGAAATATCAATAGCTATATACATAAACATTCCAGTCACTTTCAAACGTTGAAAATAACTTCAATAGATATAAAATCTTATTCATCGTTCACTTAAGTCTGAATTTTTAAATGTTTAAATATGCAAATGGTAAAATAACGGTGAAATAACGGTTTATTCGACCCACCCAAACTTGGTACGGAGGTAAGCTGTGAAAGTTAAGGTTTTTAGAGCGGCACAAGGATTATTCCGTTGACGAAAATGGAGACTTCACCAACTAGGATCTTTGATCTTACAGCCGCCTGCACCAAGAATCTTTTTTTTTTTCTTTGACACCACTGCAAGCTAATAAAAAAACGACAACTCAACCCAATTGTCGGTAGTTCGCAGTCGCAGACGAGGGAAGCTGAGTAACTATTCTTCAGCAGTACTTATTCATCGGGTCCTCATATTTATCATAAAAGCAAACCTCCCAAGTCTTTTATCTAAATTGTGTTTTGTGTTTTGCCGTATCTTCTGTCGTCATTTCTTATCAAAGACGTCAGTCTGCCCTGACAGTTCTGCTTCCACCATGGCCTTCAACTTCGAGTCGCAACCGTCTGGGCCGTCGCCCTTAGGCTTCCTAACCACGAATCCCATAGCCAATGCAGTTTCCGATGTATACAAGTCCTTCTCCGAGCGACGGGACAGGCTCGGCTTGTCTAATCCCGGCACCGTCGAGACTATCGCAAAGGAGGTTCAGCGTGAAGTTTCTCTCACCAATTACATGCATACAGGTATAAGGGCAGACCTTACTAAGGCAGTCAGTCTATCACCGTTATTCCAGGTATCGCATCAGTTTGCGATGGGTGAGCATCAGAATCCTTATGCCTTTGCAGGTCTCTTTGGAACCAACAAGGTTAGTTGACCCCTCCATCACCCGCAAACAAATGTCAAGTTAACATGTAATCTACTTCGCTATAGGTATTCCTCCAAGGAAGCATGGATAACAATGGCATGCTATCAACAAGATTTAACTACCGTTGGAACCCCTCCTTTGTCACCAAGACGCAATTTTCTATAGGCGCCCAGGATATGGCATCAATTGAACACGAATATACAGGCAGTGACTTTACCTCTTCCCTCAAGATGCTCAACCCCTCCTACCTTGAGGGTGGTTTGACTGGTATTTACATCTTGAGCCATCTACAATCCATCACCAGCAAACTTGCCCTCGGTATAGAGGCCGTTTGGCAACGCGCTGCGCTGAATCAGCCGCCCGAGTCTGCCCTATCATATTGCGCAAAGTATAAGTCCGACGATTGGATCGCAACCGCCCAAATTCATGCGCAAGGCGCCCTTAACACAACGTACTGGCGGAGATTGACAGATAAGGTCCAAGCCGGTGTCGACATGACTCTCCAAGTGGCTCCTGGCCCTGGGGGTCTGATGGGAGGTAGCTTGCAGAAGGAAGGACTTACATCTGTTGGTATCAAATACGATTTCCGCATGTCAACATTCCGAGCGCAGGTCGATTCCAAAGGAAAATTAGGCTGCATACTAGAGAAGCGCGTGGCACCACCTGTCATGATGTCCTTCTGCGCTGATGTCGACCACTTCACTGTAAGTTTGATTTAAGATTTCTGGATGTGGAATTTTCTCTAATTACTTAATTCTTAGCAATCTGCCAAGGTCGGTCTTGGAATTAGCATCGAAGCTGGTGGTGAGGAACTGCAGGAGCAACAAGAAGCTCTTGGTGCTCAGGCGTCTCCTAATATCCCCTTTTAAGTCTCCATCTCTGCCATATTTGGACGACTTTCCCTCCATAGAAGCTCCCCTCTCCCGCCTTCACGCCCTTAATACACGATCTCATTAATCCAGCACCAGGACTCAAACCATATGTTAGAGGACTGGTGTGCTGGAGATCTCGTGCAGCTCCCACCGTTTTTCTTACACTGCCTTACCGAACATTTATGTGCTTCTATATAAGGCACAGCCGTCGCCGGGTAGGTTGGGTTCTGCGTGAAAAAAATGATTATTATAGACTCTTTTTTCGCACCGGTTCCAGGTTATTATTTGATAACTCCCAGTATTAGGCTCACGTGAGGTTGAGCTCTGTCCCGTTCGGATGACGATAACCAGGGACCCGCGAAATCATGTACAATTAGGAATGAAACGACCGCTAGAGAGGCTATGAGGGCTGCATGGTTACGTTTATACGCAATAGTCGTGGTGGGCCACAGCATAGTTGATGGCATTCCCGGACGTCTCAGAAGAGATACTTGTAATCATATTGGGTGCTGTATATAGTCGCCCATTCTGTGTATAAAATCATGATCATTTGCAACGTGTCTGGTGTATCACCTATCTACAGAGAGATCTGTTAGCGAAATATGGCAAGTAATTAGACTTACCTGTGTTACAATTTGCCCGGGAGGTTGCTAGGCCTATTATCCCATGATCTTCTCACTAGTAAGTGATGATATCACGGAAAGTGACCCCCAGCAGATAGGATGTATTGGTATGACTCAACCTGGTGCTTATAACAGGAGATGTGTGTTATAATTTCATGAGACATATAGAACAAAGTGTATTTTCAGTCGGGCTTTCATAGATTAGGCAGAGTTAGAGTTACTCTGTCTCTCAATTATATGATAATAATAATTATTAATTACATAGGAGGTTAGGTCCTGGCCGAGTTGTATAGTAATTAATGAAAAGGTAGTTTATCAGGTTATATTAGCAAACGCGAACGAAGTAATAACTACGAGAGGATAGTATTAACCTAGGTATATAAGTATAATATAATTTATTTAACTCGGCATAAAATTTCTAACCAGTTTTAACCATAAGGTATATGTAACATAAAGTTGGAAAGCCTCTTACGTCTATATTATATAGTCTTTTTTTACAAGACACTCGACATGTAGCATCGAAGCTGGGTTATGTAGTGGGATTATCGTGATATCTCCTACGTCCTTTGAGAGAAGCATAGCTATTCGTATTGTCTTAACAGGTCGCAGAAAAGATATATCTTAAAAAATTTCCCTCATAAACAAATTAAGTATTTCATACTCGATAAATTAGGTAAGTTCCTGCAAGCGAGTTCGGCGGAGGATAACTGTCGGCTTCCTGCGAGGAAGGCCCAAAATGGAAATATGGGACTGTGCCGTGTTGGAGGTTCAACTAAGAAACTAAGGAGATACTCAGTAGGCCGAGCAAAGCCTAAGAGCACTGGATCTTGTAGTATCTATTTCCCTAGATTATGGATGTTTTGCCTGTCTCCTTTTATTATATGCACGCCCCCATCAATATTTTACCTTGTGTACCCACCGCGATTTTTCAATTTCTAGAGATTTAGTCAGAAAAGCTTGAATGATAGTAAAGTCCTTGCTACGAATAACAATAATATCATGTCACTTTCAGACCCTTTCCTGACTTTATTTGCATCGAGTCCTCACTAAAAACGTAGTCAGTATGATGTTACACCTGGCAAATCAACCACTATATCCCAAAGCTCATGGTAGACACGGCTTAACAAGATGGAAGCCGGCTTTAACGTCAGTGTTACTTACACCTCTAGAGATAGGATAATATAGGTGGAGTTGTGTAAGAGAGTTAGTTGCAGCAAGGCGCACTCGGGCCGATGCGATATCGCTAGGCGGGAATGGTTCGGTTCGGGAAGGTATTCTTATTGTAATAATGATAGGTAACGTCGGGGCGGCTGCATTGGGGCGTAGCAAACACCAATGGAAATATAAGCAGCGTTAATAAATAGGAAATCTGGCACAGTGATCAGCATTGATGATGGCATGCTTTCCAAAAAGTTTGATATCTAGTGTATATTAGTTAGTACTCCCGGTTCTTTATAAGGTATGTCGACGTGTCTTGATGGGAGACTATATAGATTCAATTTTCTTTAGTTCTGAAACTACGACTTATGAAGGTATAGTTAACTAGTATTATCTAGACCCTGAGGTATTTATACCATGTCGAGCAGAACGTATTATATAGTTGCGGTATGGTTGCGGTCTGCGCTATGTAAAGCAGCTTCATCATCGGGCTACGCTGCTATGAGCATCTTTACCCTTCCTTATTATCGGACCTTCCGCCAAAATACGCTTCTGCCGATTCTCGCCATAGTTGATAGCGCAAAGCTCCAGAAGGACGAGGCCGAGCTTGGAGCTATGTTATCTAGCTGGCGCGACCGTAAGCTGCAGGAGCTCTATTTTGTTCAAGTGGCTGTATGTCCTACTCTTTACTCTTCGTGGTCTTCATGACATAATTGCACCCCCAGGACAGGTCGAGGTTAAAAGACATCATAATGTTATTCCTTTCGTTATCTTCATCCCTATTCTAACACGATATCAAACGATATAAGGCTACCCTGCTCTCTGCAGCCGCGATCGGTTGTTTATCTTGGGAGACTCCCGAACGCGAACACTGGATAGGGCCAGCAGCATGGTATTGCTCGTTGGTCCTATCTCTTTTCTCAGTTTTGCTCTCAACATCCCAATCATTTATCTTCACCACTATTACCCAGAAGGAGTCACGAGCCAGTAGCAAGTCACAGCCACCCGTCTTCGAGCACGATATTTCGATACTATGCCGCATTATCAAAAATAAGGATTCGCTACCATCGACAAATACATCTTCTCGAGCCCGAAGTAGCTTCTTCACTAGAGAATTGGGGGATTTGATAGATAATGATTTGGAGAGTGGAGAAAGGCAGCAGGAACTAGGAGCTAGAATATTAAGTTTCGATACTATCGACACTGTCAACGACGAGGTTGAGGTTCGCATTCGTTGGAATATGGTATTCACGTGGCAAGCACCTATGATGCTTTTGGCATATTCCGTTGTTGCCTTCTTCGTGGGCTTAACATTATATGTCTGCGCACCAATATATGGCGAAAGCCCTGATGAGACCGAAGTAAGTACATTATACTAATCAAGACTTCTCCCGAAAATAGGGGTCAATATTAGGCCCAATATCCTATTTCGCTTTCTAACAGTCGCATAGACAGCTATGTTTTTCCTAGCTACTCTTGGATTGGGTAGCATCTGCTTCATCGTACGTAAATACTTCTCTTTCGTTTACTCTTTACTCCTTTCTTGCTTCTGGAAAGACGGCTATTTTAAAATGCGTAACTCGACGCTCCTCACTTGCTGACATTAGGTGCTCACTAGTGGTGTTCCTTTTGGGCGTATAGGTTTGTAGACATGGAAGAGCCGTGATGAAGCACAGTGAAAGTAATAAAATATGATAAGTGAAAAGGAATTTAGGGTTTGTAAAAGGAAATGGGTAGTTGTCTTAGAGTTTATTCTTATAGATTGCGTACTTAATTCATATCCCCTTTCACGATGGAAACAATAACAACAATCAATCTAATAATCACGAGAATACGCATATTTCCCCCCTTCACTCTTATCAAAATATTCCTAAAGTAACGAGTCATCATTTTATATAGAATTCTCATTAACTCTGAATATGCTTAAGTTAGAAGCTGATTTGGAATTTGGCCATCTATACTTGGCCTTTATCTTGGTCAAATATGTTCTCCAAGACCTTACCATCAGTAATAAATGTAAACAATATTCCTACTTGAGCCTGTAATAGCCCTGCATCATCCATGGCACACCTTGAATCGTATAATGATCGTCTCATAGCCCTAGTATAGCCGGTAAGCTGCTATTTAACCCTTGATGATCATTACCTCGGCGTGGCTATTTCTCCAAATATTTTCTCTATCGTCTGACTTTCAAGTACTATTTGTTTTATTTAGTAAGTAATCAAACAAGAAGGGCTAATTGACTTAGACGTAAGGGTCTCTGGCTTTTGAAGCAGAGCTACAGGTAGAAGGAATAGATCCCTTCTAATTCACTATCCAGTATCATCTACCCAAGCTATAGAAGTTACACTACTTTCAAGTCATTTTGTAGCTGGCTCTTTAAGCTACGACTATATAGATACCCAATTGATTTGCTTTGCTTAACAAAAGTTGGCAAAAGGATGCCGCTTAAGGTATTCCACGTACGTAATGAAGCGCCGTGCCAACCTACTACGTAGAGTTACGGTATTCTGTTGTTAATTTACCCATGAGTGATCATCGCTGCGCAATTTATCTTATGTCCTATAGTGCTGCGCGGCCTCGTGGCCTTCGAGAAAAGAGATATCCTCGTGCTGATCATCGACAAGGGACGGCTGAGTACGTAAATATATATATGTTGAATAGCTGTTATTGAAATGTCTTGGGTGTATTAATGCTTTCTTGTGTACTCCATGGTTCTTATTGTCTCGAGCACTTGGAATTGGGATAACTCGGCATCTCTACACTTATATATATAAAAAGCTTCTGAACACATCACCTGCAGTAGACTCGATGATTATTTGAACCTAATCGGAACCCCCGACAGACGATATAATATTAGATAAAGTCTTGAGCAAAAGCATTGTTAGCATGGAGCTTAAGGACGTGCTAGTGACTATTCTCCTGAGTTCAGGCGTCCAGAGTCTAGTACTTCCAGATGGCACACTTCAGCTTGCCCCATTGGACGCCCATGCTTCGGAATGGGTAAGCAATGGGAATATACTAACTTTCCTTAATAAGATACTAACGAGATATAAATACTAGGGACCAGATCTGGCTAGTGCATATCGTCGCGAAGAACCTAAGTCTAAACTCGAAACTGCTTCGCAATAAAATGTGAAAAGGTCATAGGGTGGGATCTAAGAAGCTTAGAAATAGCTGTGTTGTTGGAATACAATCAAATATATAAATATTCTATTATAGTTGATGAAGAGTTTAAAATTTACAAGGCACGGGATTGCAGTGTTCCGTATAAGAGTAATCGGAATAGGGGGGAGAATTTGACCCACAATGAAATAGGGATGCCAAGAAGTGACACAAGCTCATACGACTGATAAGAAATCGATAAGCAATTATCGATAATACATCTTGATAGACCTCTAATACGTGGCCTCACATCTTATCTTAGACATGTCTTACATGTGAGCGACGACAAGGACAGGCGACTACAACTTCGAGCTAATTTCCATGAGACTAAACGACCTGTATTCCTACTAACTGTCATCAATCCTCCTTGCCTCCCCCCAAATCTTGGGGATCCTCTCCGTCACCATGTACAACTCCCTAACTAGAATACAAAATGTATTTGGCTTCTTCACCACCGTCGCATTCGTCATCGCCGCCCTAATCGCCGCCTCCGACCTCACCGCTCCCCGAACACCAAGCGCAACGATAAAGCCGACCAACGTCCAAGTGTAAGAGAGAGAGAGAGAGAGAGAGAGAGAGAGAGCCATCCGTTCTCCTCCAACTACATATCCTACTCAAGTTAACTAACACGAAGGAAAACAGAGTCAAGGGTCGACCGCACTACTACAGCACTAAGAAGGAAGAATACGCCATAATCAAGTTCTCGCTAGACGCGGACCTCTCGTCGCTGTTCACCTGGAACACCAAGCAGCTCTTCGTATACGTAACAGCCGAATGGCCTTCCGCCGACAGCACGAACCAGACCAATAAAGCAGTCATCTGGGACTCCATCATCACGAGCCCGAGCGCCGACCACCTAAGCAACCTAGGCCCCGCGTCTCTTAAGAAGCTGCGCAAGAGCGCCGCCGGCAAGACCATAGACCCAAGCCGGTACGACTCTCCTTCCCTCCCATCCACATCCTTACCCCCCTACTAGTCAGCCCATCGTGCGTAAATATTAACATCCTACCCTCCTCTCCTCCCAGCGGCAAACTCACCCTTAAGAACCAAAAGCCAAAATACCAAATCACCCACCCCACCGGGAAAATCGCCTCGACCGACGACGTCACCCTACGCGTCCACTACAACGTGCAGCCGTGGGTCGGCGTCTTGACCTGGAACCAGGACTCGGACTTTGGGTTGTGGAAGAAGATGGGTGACGGGCTCAGCAAAGCGTTCGCATTGCCGGCGTTGAAGAAGAAGGAGGGCGAGAAGGCCCGATAGGTCGTCTGAAAAAGAAACGAAGAAAAAAAAAAAGACGGGGGCGGGGAGAGGTGAAATATAACGGTTACTAGAAAACGAAAATCTACGCCTTATGATCTTGACGTTGGTCTGATGATTTATTCTGTCCTGTGAAATCGTGGAATTATCCGCTTCTGACGTGTGGATGTAAGAGATGCTCTAAACCGGAGTGTTTATAAAGACGATAATTATGGGAACAGTGCGATAAAAATGATAAATCGTACCTATAGGGAATACTTACGGAGACCTCGTGATGAATATTAGTAGATAACATTGTTTATTTACGGTCAAACATCATTCGCTGAAACTGCGTGGCTCTAAACTCAAGACCATCGCTGCCCCTAGAAGACTACGTGGCAATATCTAACAACAACAGTACACGAAAAGGCAATAATCGAAACGCTTAACATCAGATCTATGCGGACCAAGATAGAAAAGGTGAGGTTAGACGTATTTTAGTCATTGACCATCCTACGTAACGCCCCGGACTCGCGGAGCAAAGCCAGAATCGCTCTCCACAAGGGGTATACAGGGGTAAACTTTTCAAACACAACCGTCCCAACGCCGTTCTTATGCAGACACGTATGAAGTCACCATGATGCTTCCCGATGCTCCTTAGTGAAATAGACACACCCGTTTCTGTCTTCTCCCGACCTCTAACATTCCCCTGTGTTGGCCTGCAGAAATCAGTCCGAAATATCGATAACATCCGAGTGAAGCGGCTCTTCGCGCAATTTGGCCGAGACCATCTTATCGCCGGGTTGCCGACCGGCGAAATAGTGGCTTACCGTTATCATCTCCTCTTGGTCTCGGGATTGACCGGCCGGTCTGTCCTGATTTTGGTAGGTCTTTTGGACTTCTCTAACTGGCTCTTCTTCTGATAAATTGGCTCGCTTGAGATCGCTATGGATATGATTGGCGCTCCGCCCTTGCCCTTGGGGGACTTCTGGATCCTCAACAACTACGGGACTTTCTGGTGAAGAGCCACAGGGTGATTCAGGGAGTGGCGAGACGAACTTGGGAACTTTAGCTTGTTCAGGGTTGCTCACGTTTAATGCGCTTATATTAGCGCTGGCCACAGCCGGAGACCGAGGAAATGAACCAGGAATAGGTCGGTTCTCCGAATTAGAAACGGGTCTGGTTTCTAGAGAGACTTCGGGAGTAGGTGATTTTGGTTTAGGTTTGGCCACACTATTCTCCTTGGGGATATCCTCATCCTTTTGGGGCTCAGACGCACCTCGGCTGATATCCTGCTCCTTTGCTAGTTGTTTAAGGGGCCGCTCATCTATTGAACCCCTGACCTTCCTCTTCAGCAACCCTGCTTTGTTACGTTTCTCTTCTCTATGAATATCTTCTCGACGTTGCTGCTCCTTTTGAAGATCAAAAATCAAGTCTCTAATATTGTTTCGGAGCTCCGATGGATTTAGATCCCAAGCAATGTGGTTATGTAGGAGAATGTTGCGAACGAACCCGTCAGGATCTTTTAGGAACTCTCTTATGTATCCTAGTAGATATAGTCCGCAGTCGCAGTGATTTGTTTGCTGGGGAACCTCCTTAGCAGTCATACCTAAAGCCCCAGGATTTGGTATTTCAATGCCTTTCTTATCCTTGAGCTCTGCAATCAAATACTGCTTTAGACAGCTGCAAGCTGGCGAATGGGCCAACCCTAATGAATCGAGCGTGATAATTTTTAGCTGGTCCGGACTATGTCTCCTAGTGCCCGTGCCGTATCCTTTCGTTGTCTTCTTCCGCTGGAGGTTGTCATTCGATGACACAATATGCCTCACATCTCCTTTGATATTATCGTGCCGCACATCTGTAGCCTCCTGTTTACAACTGGTTAGCTGTGCATCCGTCTTCTGATTTTCTGGCTCCGGAGCTATTGTCTGTTTAGCGATACCATTTGGAAAACCCGGGCTTTCGATTGACATACGGCTAAAGTGATTCGTGACATCGCTCTGTAATTCAGATCTCACTGCTTCAAGGCTTCTAGGCTTATCTGCTGATTTCCCATTATCGGGGGAGGCGCTAGAAACCTCACGGGAAGCTTCTCTAGAATCGTTGATATCCTCTTCGATAATGATCGTGTCCTTAGCGGTATTTTCCGTCTTGCCTGGAGAAGAGAGGAGTTTTGGTGCGTTGTAGATAATTGCGACGTACCAATGAGTGAATTCATTGATTGGGACGATAATATAATCTTTCGTAAAGAGGTCGACTTTAGACGTCCACGCTTTGACACTATCATAGTTGATACCTTGAGCCGTCCTCGTAGACTTGAGCTTCTCATAAAAATACGTGTTCTGGAAATAAATCCGTTGAGCCAGGTCTGGCCTTTCTGCCTCCAATGTGTGTTGGAGGTAGCGCAGATAAAAAATAATTAGATTGTCGTTTAGAAACTGACCCTCATCTAATCGAGGAATATCTTCCTTGTCGACGGTAGCTCTACTTTTGCCATGAAAAGGGAAGACAAGAGAATTGCGCCAATCTCTCTCCCAGCCTATATGCTGGGTTGTCCAACATTCAGGTTCAGGGGACTCGGATTCCGAACTGGGGCCTTTCAATGCAAATGTAGAATGAGTTTTGTGTGGTTGTCGTCGAAGACTATAGGGCCGAGGATTATCTGATATGACCGTTGTCTTGGGGTCTAACGAGGATGCAGAATGCGGCCTCATCGTGTCCTTCAACTTCCCCTGGGGAACTGGGATGCGCGGTAGGTTGCCAGCTCTTGCCTGATTTGTATTTGCCAAATTGTGCTCGATCAACCTCATATCATCTCCCCTTAACACGTCGTCTCTAATAACAGTGCGGTTGGTAGCGGTCCGTATCGTGTTTTCAAGTTCTTTCTCAAGGCGACCCCTAGAAATTACGTTAGCAGCCTCCAAAATAGCAGGATATCAAAATTTACCAAGGTGAAGACTCATCCACCAGACCATCTGACCCAGTGTCTCTCGCCCAAGTAACGAATTTTTTAAGGTCCTTGGGAGACGAGAATTCGATCCATAAACTTTGGCCACCACTTATTGAACCATCGATGGCACGCTGAATCAAAGCCACAAGGCAATTGGGTTGTGATGAAGTACGAATCTGTTTAACCTTTTTAAGATTGACCGTAAGATATGCGTATTCTTTCATAAGTTGACCATCTGAATTCTCTGGATGGAGTATGTAGCTCATCTCACGCAAATTTAGGAAACATTTATTTGTATCGTCCTTCCTACCCCCTTCATATTTGTGACCGCCCGATACAGCCCGAAGGACACGAAGAGGCGAGTTAACGATTTTCGTAACACGATCCGATTCACTAAGCCCTCTCCTCGGGCCCTGTAATCTAGTACGAGACGGCGGGGTGAATTTCGTTCGTGGAATGTCACCCTTTTTAGACAAACTAGGGGATAAAGTAGGCCGCTTCGTTGGCATCTTTTCTCTCATGTCTTGCGTTTCTGGTGCCAGCTCATCTGGGCTGGAAACCGGGTTATTGGACCCGTCCTCCTTTAACATTGTACTATCAATGATTTCCTCCATCTTCTGGGCGCCAGATGTCGTCTTGAAGCGCCTCCCAAAGTCTTCTATAGAGTACCGTACCCCTTGAGTATGGCGTGTTTGAGGGGTTACCATGACCTCTGCCCCGATGATCTCCACATCTCCGTCGCTGTCCTCAATATCGGACTTTAGTAAAGGAGTTTCGGTGGCAACCTCTCTATCTAGTTGCCCTACATGTTGTTTTGGAGTGTTATGTCGGGGCCTGTTCTTATGTAAAGGTCTCACGTAACTTTCCGTGGATCGAAATTCGGGGATTTTCGCTTCGGTCGACGGCGCTCCTTTGGTGGACGATTGTGATATAAAGGTATGTTGAGACTCGCTGCGGTTGTCAAGAGAACGTTTCCGCGGGTTGGGCCGGTCAGCGGTCCCATCGTGGTCGAATACAACGACGAACTGGGCCTGGGTGTGTACATTGTACTCTTCGACCTTCTGGCGTTTTGGTGGTGGCGCAGGTGACGAGTCTGAAGGACGACGTATGGGTGACGATTGCACAGAGCGTGAGGGGTTCTGTTTGTTTCCATTAAGATTATTTACAGGTTTGACACCACCCAGTAAGTTAAGACGATCTTTCTTCTGTCGCGAGAATTAGATCCCATCCCAAAGTGTATGCGTCTGCCTCAAGCACGTACCATATGACAAGGCATATTGCAAGAACCCGTATCGAGGGGAAGTAGAACTTAGTTTAACGTAGGTCGGCCGTTGTTCGTACTTTCGAACCTCCCCGGCGATCTCGGAAAGAATGTCAGGCGAGGTTGGATTTGTGGAGGATGTGTCTCTGTGATTTGGGAGTTAGCAAGTTTTGGCAAATACTGTTTGTGAACAAAAGCAGCCATCGGAGACGTACCAGTCGACATACTTGACTCTAGGTCCTCGTTTTCATAGCATATAGATATGCTAATGTGATGCGACGGATGCAAATAGGCATCGCTTTTTTTAGCGGGAAACGTTGACAAAGGAAGCTGTAGATATTTGCCGTAGGGAAACTAGGGAAACCCGGTAGTTTTAAGAGATCGCTTGCGATACGAGATAGTAAGTTTACGATAAGGTCCTTTGCAGAAGAAACCTAGGAGAGATAATAGGTAATCATGGCAAAACTACAGCAGCGTTGGCCTAGTGAAAGTGCGATATCCAATATTGTAGACTGCAGACTTCAGAAAAGTAGAAAAGCAAGGTGGTGGGGGGTGATTGCTTAGTACGTATCCGCGCATATGATTCGTGATCCACGCCTTCCTTATATGCAAACCAAAGATCCAGTCGCATGGAATAGTCAAGATTGGATTTCTGCAGGAGCTATGGCTGCCAATATTTGAGAATTTGGCTGCCACTGTGCATACTATCAGGTACACACTGTATTTGGGTCACCTACAGACTACAGCCTTGCATTAAACCGGCTTACACCAATGACGTGCCACAACCCACCACCAAACCATCCAGGGGTATCCACGTTTGGGAGAGTCTTTTTGGGTACGTACCTACGCTAGGTAAAGACACCTACCTATATTAATGGATGTAATAAGTACTAGACAACATACCTACCCTAACTTAATTCTTTATTACCTTATTATGTCAACCTGTCTACAAACCATAACTCTCCGTTCATATGATGCTACCTCTTATATACTAAATAATCATCAATCTGTCTAGGTATCTAGGTATTAATTAATAACAAACATGAAGTGCCATATAATCGCCATATTAAATTCGTTCCACAACTTCTCATAAAATACCCCAGTCGTTTAAGATATCAGACTCGACGTGCTCGTCGCGAGCGCTGAAGAAGCTGTTGCTAGTTGATATAACTCAAGTCTATTTCCAGCTCCGCAATATTCGTAACGATCCCCAGCACATACCATTTGACAATCAGCATCAGGAGCTGGCGTGCTAAGGCTATCAATGGTATTCCCACAGTAACACTCTCGGCCATATTCAGTTGCCCAGTACTCAAATCCAGTACAGTCGGTCGCGCATAATTCCAAGGTCATAGTATCGTCTGCGTAGGCTGCTCCAGTCAGAGCTCGGCCACCTGGGATCTCATTGTAACAACCGACCCGGACGTATGATGACACGGTTGGTTTAGGAGCAAGTGTAGCAGTCGGGGTTGGTTGACTAGCTGTGGTACTGTACAGCTCTATCCTATCGCTATCACCGCAATACTCCGTAGCATCTCCACCGCATACCATATTACAATCAGTTAAGGGCGCGTCTTCGCTCGTCGGGTGGAGCGAGTTACCACAGTAGCCTATATTAATGTCAGTCGTATTACTTATTAGCTATTCTTCCAGATTTAAAAACTCACACTACAGAATAAGAGTTAGCGAATGCTTCTTTAAGCGATAAGGATTAGATATATCTTAGGAGCGAACTCCCTAATCAGCTCGACTGGGAGTCCAACACCTGTTATTAGTTAAAAGGAGAGGGTGTATGAATGTTACATACTTCGCGTCTATATTCTGTGCCCCAGTAAATATAATTACTACAGTTATTCATACAATCTTCCAGTGTCATGTTATCGTAAGCAAATGCGGCGCCACTTAGCGCTCGGGTTGCCTGTACAGTTGATTCTTTCTGGCATCCGATAAGTACATACTCACCAATATCCTGTCTGTGATGCAAGGTCTCGGCTGGTGCTGTAGAAGAGGTACTTGTGGTGCTCACGGTAGTAGAGGAAGTAGTGGATAGTGAAACAGAAGTAGATGAGGTAGTTGGTGATCCGGGAGACGTTGATAGCTGTCCGGTGGTACACGCGGAAGTTGGCGGAGTTTGAAAGGGTTTGCATGTTGCTTCTAATTCGCTTGCAGCATTGAAGTCATCGACAACAGAAGATGAATCGCTCCCGCTGATAACATCGATCTTTGATGCATACGCAAGATCGCCAAGGCCAGTAAAGTCCGCCGTATAAAAAGTATATGAGCCTACGCAGGTACCTTCTGTCATGGTAATCGTGGCGTTTTTCAGAGTGGGAACTGGACGATTGGGATCCCCCGTCGAGGTCTTGTATGAAACGAACAATTTTACAGGAAGGGATTTGCGGTCGTTACGGACCTATAAAAATAAATCAATAGCTGCGCACGATTAAGAGTATAGATGTTAACTTACAGATGCGGTAATGGTGAGAGTGCCGGAAAGGAGGCAGCTTTGGGGGTTTTGAATGAATATGGTGTCTTGCATTGGGTATGTGTTTCCATTGTTATCATACGTTTTGGTGGTTCCGTCGGCCATATTAAGGGTTATAGTGAAAGATGATATTCCCGTAGATGTTAGGATGCTAGTATTGATGGGAAACCACTGACGCATATTAGACCTAGGCTAAAGATATAACCCTGTATTATGTCGTGGACTTACAATAAATTGATCATCGAACCCCTGAGTGGAACCCAGGAGAGTTGCTGTGTATGCGCAATTCGTGCTACCGCAATTGGTACTCCCGCTTCGGTCCTTGTAGTTCAGCGTTAAACTAGAGACAGAATCCTCTCCTATGTCGGTAGTCCGAACACGTATAAGTCCAGTCAGCTGCATTGTTGACGGGTCAGAGTTAAGTGACAACTGCATATCAACTGGCTTTACAGAATATGGTTGAATAGGGTCAGATAAAACCACACCATCAGGCACAGTATCGATCAACTTCTGAAGAACAGTTGTGCATATGCTATTGAACTCAGCGACACCTGCCATTGCTTTGACTGTGACGTTGCTATCATAGTTGAACACCTTATAGTCTGCGTTCCTAGTGGCCTTGATCGATGGTCCAACCACTAGGGGATTGGTAGTGTTACCAGCAATATATTCGGCGACAACCTTGTTATCGAATGCTGCGACAGTCGAGTCCAAAGGAGCTTCGCCGTTTAAGGTAGACCCAACCGGGACGATCTCAGGAAATTCTTTTTCATGAACACCACCAATAGAATGGCCACAGGCGGTGGCTTGGATCATCTCGGTCTTGCTAAACCCCATTCGTGTAAACTGTTGCTCAAATGTGAAAGCAGTGTTCTGCGGTAGCGGAACGCCTATGGGACCAGCCGCAAGAGCATCGACCCTTCCACCAGCAACAGGCACCACTGGACCACCGCAAGACCTAACGGCATAGTATACGCCCAAAGCAATTAGATCCGCAACGCTAGACCGACTCGTATAATAGTCGGCCATGAACTTAAGAGTTGTATTGAAACCTGGGCCGATATTGTCCGAGCTGGTCAGCTCGTATTGCAAGGAGCCATCTAAGCCGCCAGCTCGTATGCCGCTCAAATATGTAGTCGTAGCCATATCATGAAAGGCTGCCCGTAACCATTCAGCAGCATTCTGTCGGCCAGGTCCGGATGCTTCGTTGGAGCACGGAATAACAGTCCCGCCAAAGTCTCTGGCCCTGTAGCCCTCGACTTGGTACATGATCTCCTCGAGTTCATCGTTGGGAGATGGCCAAATTGGATCAGCTCTTGTAAGAATGCATAACAACACCATCCGCCAAATCATAACTCTCCAACACGTCATAAAATAAGATGAAGTCCACATAGAATATTACACTGAAGATACAAATTGACGAATGGTGGAGCCGGCGGTAGGTTCCTCACTAACAAGATTCTCTCCAGACAACAACGCTCTCAGCTGATATATATCCGGGTCGATATAAGGAAAAAGAACATGGAAGCTAGACTCGAGATCCATGATGATATTATTATAAGAGGTATCTGAGTACTTACGATATAGTATTTTACCGTCGTCTCGACTATCGTCTCATGCCGAGTAATATTTGGGCAATTTCTGCGAGATAGGAGGGCGAGCCGCCGAGACTGACGGCTGCAAGACCCCTGCAGCAATAAAATACGAGACCTCGCAGTAATGCAAGATGCAATGCTACTTCGGGTACCGGTCGAAAGCGGACTGGTCCATGATAGCCTTAGGCGGCAACTTTAAGCCGTAGGTTAGTTAAAATGCCTAGCCTTGTATGTTTGTTTCTAGATGATATGAATATAAACGTGTAATGCATTGACCCTTCGACGTTTATATCTCAGAAGTGGGCTAGAGATGCCTCACGAGTATCTGTTAAATACCAACGGATGTTTTACATATTAGGTTGTAGATGAGAGTACGGCGCGGGAGGACTTCAAGAAACAGAAAGGGTCGTATAGATACATGTTAAGCATTCTGATTGAGTCATTAGTGGATAGTCCATACTTTGTTACCCTAAATATCTGTGGCTAAGCAGTCATTCGATCAGTTCCGCGTTTAATTAACCACTCCAGACCAGCTGAATTCGTTCTCGTAAGCCACCAAGACGGGGGACTTTCCGTATTAGTATAAAACAATGACCTGTAAATGACAGACAAGTAGGCTGACTTTTGGTAGCACGGCATCTCGGGCTTGGTATAATTGAATCTAGTATAAAGATAGGCTTGATATAACCTTATGCTAAACGACTTCAAACCGTCGGCCGTTGGTACTAGGTATACCCGGGCAAACATTTACGGAAAGCCGATGACGTGGATACCTTATATATGACTACTACGGCGCCGGCCGAGTTGTCGGGTCCTCGAGATTATGAGTTAGGATTTGGTCTGAGCGATCCATATTGCTATAGCACGTATATAATACATAGTGATGAAGCTCTCACACCAGGTTAGGATAAGTGGAGTCGTAAGTGCTTCGACGGTTCAATGGCTGAATAGTTCTAAAAAGAAATCATATGTTGTAATCGCTAATGACCGGACTTGAAAATTCACCGGTGGAATATGCGGACACAGACAAAATTAAAGGCTTCAGATAAGCGAATAATACTTCCAGCTTTAAGCGCTATTGAATGTAGAAGGAAATAAGAAATGCTATGATTCTTTTTCGATCCGATATTTAGGTAGGTAGGTATCCAAATGGAAGGATGTGCATAAGGCGGGTCTATTTAAAAAATTAATGGCTTGCGACGAGGATCAGCAGCGGCTCGGGAAGGCTAAGTTAATGGGTCCCTTGACCTTGAATTTCCTGTAGAAAAGATCTAGACTTCCTACAATAGTACTTGGGTACATATATACATGCAATCAGCGTCTTTAACTCGGCACTATTTAAATTTGTAACTTCCTCTCCCATCTTAGCGTCCGCCATCTCACCAAAGCAAACAACTCAGGCTGGCGAATGTTATCGAAGCAATTGTAAAGCCGGATAATACTTATAAGAAATATTTGTGATATGTGATATGATAGATGCGGTTTGCTTAGGCTTTTGCAGTCTATGTTAGATAAGGGAAATCGGATTGTAACGGTGCCCCACGTGGACTTAAGTTTGCTGCTACTACTGCATCGGCCTTTATTCCTGTCGCAGAATCATGCTTGATTTCACTTGCAATATACACATAGGCAAGGCAGATGTATATAATAGTTATTGTAGAATTAAGCCACGCTCATGTTTCAACCAGGGACAGTTGCATAATCTTACCTAATTGACTTCCCGATACTTAAACTATGGGGATCGTAACAGGTCTTTTTCTAACTCAATTAATAACTAGTACTACTATATCAACCGATGATATGTTAAATTGCGACCTGTAAATATACTATATTATAGCTAAAACTTGATCCACGTCATCATATTAAGTTACAATAGCGGGCAATTGCGAACGGACATAAATCATTTACCAGGCATTAAGGGCAGGAACAAGGCTCCAGAGATATATACCCCTATATATATAAACAGATGTAGTCACCATAGTCCTTGAGATCAACAACGCATTTCGTAATACAAGACCAGTCTACATGGTAGCTTCACCACCGTTTCGATGTCGGATTTGATATCGATTCCCGCGTGTAGATCAGGAAATGAGGTTGCTGTATTGGAATCGTAGTTCCGCGTTGAGAGACGACGGCTAGAAATACGTTCAGGTTGTACAAGATGAGTACGCGTTAAGTACAACGGCGCTGGATAGATACATATCCTAGGCCAGCGGACCCTTCTTCGAGCGATAGCAAGGCAAGGCAAGAAGGAGACGCAAGACAAGATATACGGAGTATGAGACTCAATAGATTATAGGCATCGTGAATTAGAGGCTATAATGTACGCTAATTGAGTAGGGCCTCCAAAGCCACAAGACCCGAGAATCAATAATGCATTCTGTAATACCTACAGGAACAGTTCCACATTTAGGTACCGACTAATGACGTAAATTTTATCTAACAACGACTGTGTAAGAGCCGCGAACCGTGATTTTACCGCCAGCTGAAGGAGCGAAATATAGATGAAAGTATTAACCTTTAAAATACAGCATATATCCGAATTGGTGTAGTGGCTAACATTTGACGCTCTCAAGATGTAACAATCAAGTAACCGTCAAGCCCGGGGTTCGATTCCCCGATTCGGAGTACATTTTTGCATTTATCCAGACCGAGATTTTTTATTTAAAATTCTTTTTGGACGTCATTGATCTTGTCTTGATAATATCCTTGAAGATTTGATTGGCATTTGTAAATGAGCGGTTTATCACCGCTTAGTTAAAGTATATTGGAGGGGTAACTTTTGAAGCTATTGATAAAATGCTTATTTAAATATTTTAAGCACTTGATATGATATACAGGTCATATTAGGGTTATTAAAAGTGTAGTTATTAATATATTAACTTAAATGCTACATGTATATTAATCTTAATATATAGACATAAGAATATAAAAATAATAATAGAACAATCCGTAATAAGAGTTTAGATTTATATGATATGTTATGCAGGTAGCAGAGTGGATTGTGGGTTTATATAATCATTTAGATGCATAATGCATCTACAGGATCTAGTGTGTAAAAGAGTGGAGCTATCTTCCGAAAATTCGCTTAGCCCTCACGCAAACCCACAAGAAAAATAATTCTGTGGTGGGCTTTTTGATTTTTCGCAGTTCAACATCACCAAATCGCAACTTGAGACTATCAACACCCAGCGTCGAGGTAAGTTCGCCGAAGCCAGACTCTCTTTATTCCACTTCAATTATCTATTCTAGTCGATCATAATTCGACTTTCATGTTCGCAATTGACTAATCCACATCCTTTTAGCATTACGACCTTTACGATGGCCTCTCGACCGACTGTCACCATCATCGGCAAGGATGGTTCTCCCTCGGGAGCTACCCATACCATTCCTACCGTGTTTTCCTCCCCGATCCGACCTGATATCGTCCAGCAAGTCCACACTGGAATGGCCAAGAACAAGCGACAGCCTTATTCAGTAAGCGAGAAGGCTGGTCACCAAACCTCTGCCGAATCTTGGGGAACTGGTCAGTAATTTTCATATTTTATCTGGGTGTGAGGAATATGAGGGTGAAAATGTCTGCCGTGGGATGATTCTCCGCACTGGAACCATATCTAGATATAGCCATTTTTGCAATTACTAACAGTCTTCTTCAGGTCGTGCTGTTGCCCGTATTCCCCGTGTCTCTGGTGGTGGTACCCACCGTGCCGGTCAGGCTGCCTTCGGTAACATGTGTCGTTCCGGTCGCATGTTCGCCCCTACCAAGATCTGGCGCAAGTGGCACATCAAGGTCAACCAGGGCCAGAAGTGAGTGATATAATTTGACTAACCTCTAACTATATAAACTAATTTCTCAAACAGGCGATTCGCTACTGCCTCTGCTCTTGCCGCTTCCGCTGTCGCCCCTCTACTGCTCGCCCGCGGTCACCAGATCTCTTCCGTCCCGGAAGTTCCTCTCGTAATCGACTCGGCCGCTTTCGAGGGTGGTGCTGCTGCCAAGACTGCCGGTGCCCTCGCCATCTTAAACGCTGTTGGTGCCGCTGCCGACATTGAGAAGGCTAAGAAGACGAAGAAGCTGCGTGCTGGTAAGGGTAAGCTAAGAGGCCGCCGCCACCGCCAGCGACGTGGACCTTTGGTCATCTACGATCCCGAGGTTGATGGCAAGGAGCTTGTCACTGGTACCCGCAACCTTCCCGGTGTCGAGACCAGCTCTGTCTACGCCCTGAACCTCCTCCAGCTCGCCCCTGGTGGTCACCTCGGACGATTCATCGTCTGGACCTCGGCCGCTTTCAAGGCCCTCGACAAGATCTACGGCACCACCACCAAGCCTTCAGAGCTAAAGAAGGACTTCCTTCTACCTTCCAACCTGGTTTCCCAGTCTGATCTAAGCCGTCTGATCAACAGCTCCGAAATCCAGAGCGTCCTCAACGCTCCCAAGGGCGGTCCCTTGACCAAGCGCGCTGCTGTGCAGAAGAACCCCCTACGCAACAAGCAAGTCCTGTTACGTTTCAACCCTTACCACGCTACTTTCGTCAAGGACAAGGTTGGTCAGCAGAAGGCGGAGGCTGGCAAGCCCCCTAAGCCCCCCAAGACTTTCCTGGAAGTCCTCCGTGAGGATTAGATTAGACTCGCTTGGTGAGCAGCGTAGTCTAGGGGATGGGAAACGGTAAATCGGTTGCAATAGTCACGGCGTACTGGATCATAGGAACTGATGAATCAATCAATGACATTCTTATTATGATCGCCACTTCCCACCTCGTTGGTGATCGTCTATGCATCATAGCAAGCCCCTCAAGGGTAATCTATCAAGCTTGTTCTTTACACTCTACGAGTTCGTGTGTCGTAATTATGTCTGTTATTTTTTTTGCTAAGCTTCGGTCTTGCTGTACCTGTTTTGTCCCGTTTCAATTACCGTCGGATATAACCTTACAACTTCGTAAAACACTTATAACGTGTCAGCGTATACGTAAGACCACCCATTTACCTAGTCCCATTTATATCGTCAGAACTTAATACCCATGAGACAATGGGCGAGGCAATTTATTCGTTATATTCGTTCTAAGTTGAAATATACTCCACCTCCAAAGTAAATATATACCCGAATGATACCTACCTAATATATCCATAATTTGACTTTGTGAGCAGCTATATTTTGCAATGCTGCTCACTTATGTCGTACACGTGACATGTCTTGTAAGTCTGCCCTCCCAACTCGTCTACATCTCCGTTATATATCCGTGCAAAACTCTAACATCCCATCCAACTCCCCAAATTTACTAGACCCGCCTCATCCTCATCTTGCGTTTGCGCCGCATTAGCATCGTCAAGTATGGCCTCGAGCTCTTTTACATTTTTAATGCGCCAGAACCTTTGGACGCCCTGGCCGAAGCGTAGGGAGCACTTGTCGATGTTCTCCTCTGTCTCGGCCGCGAAGCACAGTCTGTAATACGCCCAGCCGCGCTCGTTGCGGATTTTGTCGGTCGCGCTGAACATTAGCCCTGGGCTGACTAGGACTCGGAACGGCTTGCGCGTGAGGAAGATCATGAGCGCGGTGGATAGTGCGACTCCGTTGATAATATTGCCGCGGGACCCGGCGGCTTTCCATAGCGGGTGCGTCTCGAAGCGCATGCGCAGCCACAGGAACATGCCGCCACGAGGCCATTGGAAGTCGTAGAGCTGAGTCTTGGTGATGACGCCCCAGTCGGAATCAGACTCGCGCATAGGTGTCGACTGTTTTAGTTGGTATGCGTTCTCTTCGAGGATCTTAGACATTCGATTCATGCGCCTCTCGTACTGGCCCCGCAGGCCGGCGAGCCATCGCACCCAGCCATCCATTTTCCAGCCGCTAAAAGTGGCCCGATCCTTCGCAGATCGGGCTGCAAATGCAGCTGATGCCTCGGGTTGCGGCCCCATGATAGTCTCGGCGACTACGACTTGGACGAAACCGGAGGGCTGCTGTGTGCCTGTCTCGCTGACACGGAGAACACGCTCACAAATCGTCGGGCTCGAGGTAATCCATCCCATCCGGCAGCCAGGAGCTACGGTCTTGGAGAAAGTGTCTAATCTCACAACCCGTCCGTCTATATCGATACTCAGGAATGATGGCGCAAGAGAATCCAGGTATTCATACCCAGATTTCCTTTCAAGAGTATTCGCTACTTTTGTTTCGGGGATGGGTAAACCTCTCGCTTTTGCCTCCTCAACCGCTGCCGAAGGGTACTGGAGGTACCAATAAGGATCATCCTCAATGATGATGACGTCGTATTTACTGCAGATCGAGTACAATTCCCTCCTCCTCTCGAGAGACAAGACGCCACTTGTTGGGTTGTGACCCATTCTGCAGAATTATGTTTAGTAAGCCGCGCACTTCCCAGAGTAGGTCTATGTTATGGAACTTTGTATTCATGGACCCTAGGTCTCATAAATAAATAATTAGGCAGTGGAAAACTCACGTTACGGTGTATAGCAAGTGCGGACGTTTCCCCTTGCTGTGATCCCAGTTTGCAAGGGCATCTTCCAAGCTTCCAGGGCCGTACGGCAACATACCCCCATCATCCATTTCAATAGGTACAGCTTGGATACCTCGGGGTTGCGCCTGAGTGAGCACATTGGCGTACATAAAAATTTCGCACAGCAAGCCTGGTCGCTCCCGAATGTCATTCCTTCCTTCTACCCAAACGTTGCTGAATACTTCCAATGTCTTGGACATGCCGTCTGTTGAACCGACTGTGAAGATAACCTCCGGTCCGCCCCTGTAAGGCACATTTGGATGTAGGTAATCCCGCGTGAATTCACGAACGAAGGAAAGTAGCGGCGGGTATCCATCAGCCTGGCCATATTGTAAGGCAGAAGCAAGATCTATCTTTTTCCTCGGGTCCGCGGCTGGGGCATCGTGAGGTACGACGACATGTGAGGCTACGGTCCGTTTTGAGATAGATGTCGCGGCTAGTTGGGAAGATAGCGTGCCATCGGGATCCGGATAGTTAGGCGTCGGGGTCCATCGATCCGGTTTTGCGGTCTGGGCTTCTAAAGTGTCGAAGGGAAAGAGTTGGGCATTAGGGAGACCTATTTTTAAGTTTAATGTTAGCCTCAAAGACGGGCACGAATATTGATAAGGTAGGACGACGATAGGCGTTTCGTACCACCTGCGAGTTGGCCGATGTTTGGTATTTGGAAGTACTTGTAGAATTCCTTCATCCTACTTGGGGCTCGAGCCTTCGTTACATCCGAATAGTGGTGAGACATGTCTTTCGGTAACGGCGGTTCCGTGCCGACAATGGTATGATTGGACGCCTCCATTGTGAAGCTAATATTATGATTGTGTAGTTATGCTATTTAAGATGAAATATGTATAATTCCGAAGATGGAGTAAGACAAGAAGAATATTAATACGGATGCCTACATACATACATGTAGATAATGTAGGGCGTAAATGTAAGGATTAGAGATATGGTTCTTATCTCAAGTAGGTGTCATTGTGCGTTGGGATTGCATGAGCATTGCAGGCGCCTTACGATTTGGTGAATTAGAATTTGGATTAGAAATTCAATAAGGATGCAGATAGCCTAGTAAGTTTTGGGAATAATTCCGAGAAATGATTCAGGGGTCCAGACAATCTGAACATGGAAGTGCAACCCGACGCTCCGTTTACCATCTCAAGTATTCGTACCTTCCTATCTTTGGATACCTTAGGTACCTAGGTACCTGTATTTTATTATGTAAGAAACGAAAGTCTTGGTACGACCATTCCCATGCCTTGGGTACGTGAGTTCCATGTCCCGTAATGCGGGGTTCCATGCAGGTACCCCACACCGATGTCAGACCTCGCCGACCGGAACCTTTTACATAGTAAAATTTCCACAAAAGACAAAAGACAAAAGACAAGAGAGACAAGCTGCAAAAGCGAACATACCTACCTCTAAGGTATCTACTGTTGATGAGAAGTCAGACACTGTAGTACGACCCATTTACACGTCTATTGCAATACTTTGGACTAAGATACTAATTACATGTCCTAATATTTTATTGGCGCAGTTCTTACTACCTATAGTGTTACCGTCCGTAGCTACATATCGACTGGACTTCCTTCGTGCCGATCCGGCCTCTACTAGGCCAATTACTCTACATATTCTCTCGACTTGCCCTCAGCGTTGAGCGATAGTCTAACTTAGATATACTTCTAGTTATATCCTAGATTTAGAAACTCCTCGTTGTTTGCAACAATCCGTGCTGAGCAAAGCTATTCGATATGGAGAAAATCACAGACAAGATAGCCGCTTTACCGGCCGATTCCAATTACTTCTCGCTCGAGTTCTTCCCTCCCAAAACTGCTATGGGATTCTCCAACTTACGCGACCGTCTTGATCGAATGGCACGAGCGCTGCGACCTCTCTTTGTAAATGTAACATGGGGTGCCGGGGGATCCACTGCTACGAAGTCACTCGAGTTGGCCGAGATATGTCAGAGGGAGCTGAACCTGACGACATGTCTACACTTGACATGTACGAACATGAGTCGGAAACTTATTGATGGGGCGTTAGAAGATGCGAAGGTATTGGGTATTAGGAACATCCTTGCCTTGAGGGGCGACCCTCCAAGAGCCGCGGAATATCAAGATCCGAACGAGTCTCCCGAGGATGCTATAGATGAGACCTTTGAATGGGCCATTGATTTGGTGCGGTATATAAGAAAGACTCATGGAGATTATTTCTGTATCGGCGTCGCTGCATACCCCGAAGGCCATGCCGATGAGAGCCATCCCATGGGCCAGAACTTAGAACATGACCTTCCTTATCTAGTCGACAAAACCCTCGCGGGAGCTGACTTCCTCATGACGCAATTATTCTTCGATACAGAAGCTTATGACAATTTTGAGCAGACCCTCAGGAACCACCCCAGCGGCGCATTCAAGACGATTCCCATTATTCCCGGACTGATGCCCATTCAGAGCTACCAGATGATCAAGCGAACAACGAAGCTCAGTCATGCTCAGATACCGGACACAATAATGTCTCGACTAGATGCTGTGAAGATGGACGATGAGAAAGTCAAGAGCGTTGGTGTAGATATCTTATGCGAGATCGTCGAAAAGGTCAAGGAGATCACAAGAAGAACACCCGGGCCTAGAGGGTTTCACTTTTATACCTTAAATCTCGAAAAGGCCGTATCTTTCATCATCGAAAGATCAGATCTTATACCTTTCAGCACTCTTACCGATGAAGAGGCAATCGAAGATATCACGTCTAAGATCCCGGCGCTGCAAGTCAACGGATCTCTAGACCACGAAATCATCCCTCAAGCACGAGAGAACTCCCGAAGTCGAAGGCAATCGAACGTTAGTTCGGAAACTCGTAACCGGGTCATCATCTCCGGGCGACCAGTCTCGCACCCCGAATACGAAGCTACCTCAGCAGAAGCTAGTATACCGGCTGATCCCATCAACAGCCGAGCTAACACCTTGGCGATTTCTGAAGGCGAAGGTGTCCTCGGCCGAGAAGCAACGTGGGATGACTTCCCTAACGGCCGATGGGGTGACGCTCGGTCTCCCGCATACGGCGAAATAGACGGATATGGGCCTAGTCTGCACGTCTCCCACGCACAAGCCGTTAGTCTCTGGGGGTACCCGACCAAGCGGGAGGATATCAACGACATAATGGTCCGGCATCTGAAAAAGGAGCTTTCGGCTATTCCGTGGAGCGAGGAGGAGTTCAACGAAGAGACTGGGATGATTACCCAGCAGCTTATCCAACTTAACAGGAAAGGCTGGTGGACTGTTGCTTCGCAACCCGCCGTCAACGGCCTACGCTCGTCCGATCCCGTCTTCGGCTGGGGTCCGCAGCAAGGCTTCGTGTTCCAGAAAGCCTTCGTCGAATTCTTCATCCCGTCCTCCGACTGGAAGGTCCTACTTGAAAAACTCCAGAGCTCCGAGGTGCAGGATACGATATGTTTCTACGGGGCAAACGCCGCGGGAGACTTCGTATCGTCCGACTTGACAGGAGGTCTGGCGGGCGAAGTTAAAGAATCAAGCACGAACGCGGTGACATGGGGCGTGTTTCCGGGTAAGGAGATCATCACACCGACTATTATAGAGGAAGTCAGCTTCAGGGCATGGAGTGAGGAGGCGTTTGGCATATTTGGCGAGTGGGCGCAGATCTACGGAAAAGGGTCGGAAACCGAAAAGTTGCTCGAGAAAGCCAAGGCAGACTCGTGGCTGGTCAATATCATTCATCATGATTTCGTGGACAAGGACGCGTTATGGAGGTTACTTCTTGACTAAGTTAAATAAAAGAAAGCATGCGAGATGTCATTCATAAAAGCAGCTAGTCTACCTACCTAGATAGGTATATGAAGTTGCTGATTTCTATCTAATTCATTCGCAGATCAATTCTTAAAATTCATCGCAAAGCGAGAAAAGCAGCTTCTCATGTTGTATGAGAGCTAGCCTGTAAATCAGAGCTAAAGAGCGAGATGAAATGAAAACTATCGCAAATGCATACCAGTAGATATGTCGAAATGTCGGTAAAGATAAAGGAGTGACGGCATAGTTGTCTTGGTTTTGCCCCCCTGATCTGTCCAGATGTCCTCATGCCCATAAACCCCTAGGTTAAGTTGTTACCAACTCATATCTCTCCCATCAGATGAGAGAACGTATGATAGATATTTCGACCCCTGTCGGTAAAACCACAAACTATCCATCTATTGCTTTTCTTTCTCTTTGTTTCCCCCCCTTTTGCCGATCCTAGTACTGATAACGAAACGCAGTAGAAATGAAGAGACGACGATATTGTACGAACTGTACTGAAAGGAGATTATTTGTCGACGTGAAACCATGCGTTAATCACCCGTTCGCAAGGACGTCGAATTAATAGAAGAAAATGGAGAATAAACCGAACGCCATAGAGCCTGTTGCTCATCATAGAGGATACCGAAAGAAGAGAGGATGATGGAAACACGTGCGATATCTACGTTCGCACTTGTCGTAGCCTGGATTACGAGATCGGTAATATTAGACCTCTCCATCCGCAAGCTCGTCATCGTCAAATATGCCGCTGCTACCAATAAAAGGGTCGTCGTGGCCCTGTCTAATAGGACTATTCTCCTCTGATACCAGGTGTGAATCTGGGTCAGCCTTCACTTGAGTTGCACGCGTATCCGTTCTGGGTGGGGGCGGGGGTGTGTCCTCGCTCAGATCGACGAACTGGACCTGGTCATCGTTGTTGTTGGCGCGCGCTGACTTGGCACCGTTACCGAAGAGGGAACGTGTGACATCTTTGCCACCGCTGCCACCGCTGTTGTTGTTCTTAGTGGGCACAGGTGTGGCAGTGTTGTTCGCGTTAGTGCTATTGGGACCTTGGGTGTTGCGGCGTTTAGGTGTAGGCGTGATCTGAACGATATCGTCGTCATCTGAGCGGACATCCTTTGCCTCGTAGTCGGTCCCAGTGCTGTCAAGGCTAGCATCATCCTCGGACATGGTCACTTTCTTAGGGCCGCGTTTGCGCTTCGAAGAGGCCGCGGTGGAAGGGGTGCGGCCGCCCCTGCTCGTAGGTGTTGACGCGACGGAAGCCTTGGCGCGTGTAGGAGCGTCGAGCTTGACATCCCAGGGATTTTGACCTTCCTCGACGGCTTGTCGCTGTGCGCGACCCAGAGCTTTCACATCACGCATCTGCCACTGTATGCCAGCGACAGTAGACTCGCCGAAGAGCTTCTGGATTTCTGTAAGAGAGTATTAGCTGCTTCTTCCATTGTAATAAGTCATAGGAAATAGCCATGGAAAAGGGGATAAGGGAAATAAGAATAAGAGATTCGGTGATGCGAGAGGGGTATAGAGTATACCTCCACCCTCGGCAGGCAACTCGCCCGGGTCCTTTCTTTTATTCATAAACCAGTCGACTTGCAACTTGCCCAGCTGCTTAATCGGACGCATGCGGTGTTCCACAGCGGATTCCGTGGAGCCTCCGCCCACTAGTATCGCAATCACTGCTGTCACATCAGCTCGTGGTGGAAACAGTAGGTCTATCTAATACAGGCAGACACTATGGAAGTATGACTGTCTCAACGCTTCTCTTCCAAGGCAGTGCGATCCGACTTGTATACATTCTGATTACACTGACCCTGCTGGCCCTCTAATAGGACATAGGACATACACATCAAGAGAGCATTCAAAGAAAATAATATAGAATAATCCAAGCAGAGGATTATAAAAATAGGATATACGTACCATCGTAGTCGAGTTTGGCCTTGCCCTCAAGGGATGCGACCACAGCAGCTAGCAGACGAGTGCTACTCTCATAGTTCTTAAAATTCACTCGGTTTCGAGGAGCCATCGTGGGCGTTGTAAAGGCGTCACTGTACAGTGATATTAGAGATGACTGACGACGAGACAATCGCGAGGTTAAAGAATTGCGTATCGGCGCGAACTAAGGGAAGGTAACAATGTTTAGATATTGTATCGGGGTGAGTCAACAAGACACCTAGGGAATCTGTGAAGAAACGGACAAATGTTTAGAAGGAGAGGGAAGGGGTGTTGCGATGTTTGGGTGATGCAGGATAGATAGTAAAAGGGAAGCTGCTAGGTGAACGAAGTTGAGTCAAAGAAGATGTGGAGGATAGAAGGATGTTATATGTTACGGAAAGAGGCATTGGTGATCCTAGCAGTGGAGGTAGATTGCCTAGGTACTCCAGTAGGTACGTACGTACGGTAAAGAAACGGTGGGAATAGGATATGTAGCTTTAGACCTAAGAATAGAAATGACTTACAAGATTAAGACCTTGGTGAATACTACCTGTAGGTGTTGAGATTATCGGGGTAACCTAATGCAAGGTCTGAGAAGTTGGATCCTAGGATGTACGGTTCTGTTGATATACTAGGGCTAGATATAGCAGATGGTAAGAATGGCTATGATGATAGACCAGAGTGGTGTACGAGGTGAAATAGTTTGTCAAATATTGAATCAAGTGTTGTAAAGACCGGAATGTGTGCTAAGGGGAGGAGGCTGCCTACCAGTTTGCTATGCAGTTGCAGGCAATCGTCAAATAGACAGCGCTCCTTCAATGCTGTTTCGATTTATGTTGTTGCCCAAGAGCGTCTTGAGGAATCAGATCGTACGTATAGTACAATCACAGGATCAATTAGAGGCAATGGCAATATACCAATCACCTTAGGTAAACGATGATTGAACGCCAACTTTCAAATTCTAGCACGGCTTGCTGACTGCTTCTACTGTAAGTAAGTGACTAATAGAGATTTTGAGATATGAACTTGAAACTTGATATTTATGCAGATCGATTGGTCTGAGTTCTATAGCCTCTTACTTGGGAAATTTATGGAAGGGAATGAGATGCTGCTACTTGAGGGAAAATGTTGCAAGGGACTTAACGTATTTATCGAAAAGGGCATTATGACAGGAGATTTTTGACTATTCTTGCGACATCTAGTTTCAATATGATTCGAAGAATGGGGTTTGAAGGCAATGCCATAAATGCCATATAGTTCTTAATATTGATAATTGGATAAGGAACTGAAATAAATAAATCCAACTTACAACACTAGGTTAGGTTTTTAGCCCGATAACTAACCCAGAACGACTCGAGATTTCCAAATAATTGAGATCTCACTTTAAAGCATGATAATAATTCAATCTGAGGCTTGAAGATGGACCTAGAGTAGGTATAGATGTCAGGGGGTTATGGACTTACCACGTCGTAGTACTTGGCGTTACCTTAGGTTAAAGGGGCCGAAGATGGTGATAAATCGACTATGGCTAGAAGATATTTGGAATATGATATGAAGTCGCAAAGTAGGAGAGATAGGCGCTAATATATGTATAGAGAGGAGTTTCTTAATGTATGAATGAGATGGTGGTTAAGTACTAAATTAAAATGAGAAGATTTGTTAAGCGCGTTCTACTCGAGAAAGTTGAATGCACCTAACGTTCGTATTAGTTAAGCCGTAACTACTTCCTTAGAATCCCCCACGTCCAAATGAGATAACATATCACTTTGGAGTTGGCAAGATTAGTACAGATAAAATTTAGAATCCCCCCCGATCTGACAGGTACTATTTTAGCTATAGATTAATGATTTTGTGGCTGATTATTCGCGGGGAAAGTCAGGTGTTGAATGTACTCATTTAGCACTAATTCACGACTTCCTCACCCTTGTCTGAAGAATAATTAGTTGATGTATCATATCAGCCACTCGCGTATCATAGCGCGTATTATGATATTAGATAAGCAAGCATAGCGACAGGTTTTTACTATGTAGCAGGATGTCGTTTTGCTTTTTATTACATACCTACAGGGTAAATGTACACTACAAGTTACCTACAATTATAGAAATACATTCATATACCCCAATTCGTATATGCAAACTTCATCACCTTTTTTAAAAAGGAAAATCTAGCAGCCTTATAGTGAAGTTCCATGTTTTTAACTTGAAGACCCGATCGTACTACCCACACTTATTACTATAACTACAGTCATATGCCATATATATAGTCACAGTGCTAGGCCGCACCGGTTTTAATAGTAGGTATTACAGTCATTATTCATATAGTCTTCTCCCCAAGGGGTGTCCTCCTCCCTGTTGGTGTTTCTCTCCCAGTTACATGTAGATGCGGCTTTACACCGGAATATGTCCACCCCTGCTGCGGTTTTATCGTAGGTTGCTGGTCACCATACATCAAGTACTGTACGCCGATGAGGGAGTCGCAGACAGCCTGGAAGATTCCACAGAGCTTAAATGCCACTGGAATTGAAGTAGTAGACGTAAAGAACCAAAACATCTTCATAGCATCTCCAACCAACCAACTTGCTAATACCGAAACCCGAAAGCCTTTGCAAGATCGCGAACGTGCGTTGGCAACGAGCTGCGGGATTGGCAGCGTCGCCTCAACTGACAAGCCAATATACCCTATTAAATCCGAATATCCAGAATATATCGAATTGAATGGTGCTAATAACAGCTCGAGTACAGTCAAGCTGATAAACAACGACAGTAGAAATTGCCAATAGCTAGCGTCTAGGATTAGCAGAAGCGCCAAGACCAGATCTCGAGGGGTAAAACCTACGGTTTTGGTGACCGCCATTGCCAAAAATTGTAAGGTCGCTGAAATCCCCCGAATCCATCCTGTGCGCCTGCAAAAGGAAGGGCGGCGTCACCTCCTTTTGACGATGGCGGCGGACGGTGATCGAGAGCAATCTTTAGCAGTATAACTTGGATGAAGATGTTGCAGAACGACTGGATCAGCAACGCTACATCGAATCTCGCACCCGGATAGTAGAAGACCCTAATGATAATGTTGTTAGTATGACAAAATTCTATATATAAGATCGGAGAGGCTAAGCAAACCTGAATATTGATGCGACAAGCATGATCAAAGGAATATCCAGTGAGAAGCCCGCACTTGATCTATTCCTATGCATAGAGATCGCCTGATCGGAATATGACAAAATAGGTGACAATATCAGGAACGCTGGGGCGGCATAAGCAGCCAACGTCGTGAGGAAGTACATTTTTGATGCTTTATCGAGTAGCACCGGACAGAGCGGGAGATCGCGCGGTTGTCCTAATCCTATATAGAACTCTTCGTGCAATACATTGGCGAATACTAAAATTGCATGGCAAGGAGGGATTGAGTCGAGGAATATTCGGCGTGGGTCAGAATTCGACTTTTCATCTGAAGAATATTAGTTATCTTCGGTGGAATGAAGCTAATGTACACGATAATACCTAGAGTAAATCGCGACTTATGTTGTGGAGCTTTTCAAACAGCTGGTCATAATTTTTGAATAACGTCTAATAAACATACTCTGAAGGGTAAGTCTAAATAACCCCTGAATTTTACCTAAGATTGACGTAGCACATATCTGGGTACTTCCAGTCTTTACCATTTTTAAGATCGGGGCGGTTGAATGTCACATCCGCTGATGCTTATCATCTTATCGCAAGCTTGATTCGAGACAGAATTAGGTTTGTACTTCATTGATGATTGGACAGCTTAGCCAGCTTAGCACTTAGCATTAACCGTACATGCAGGGTCTTCATCTACCCCTCCAAAGAAAACTAATTATGAACCCCACATAGCTGTGAACATTTTCTTTCAAGCTATTCAATGAGTCTTCAAAAGTAATTGAGAGGTGCTTCTGGTTGCATTAGAGCCTCTAATCTCAAATATACTCGGACCTTCTGGTCGCTATCGAGCAAGATGGAATATATCATCCTTACTGGAGAGTCTTGCTTCACGTCCTCCGAAGCCAACAAGTTAAAAGATCGCATCAACCAGACTGCATCTATCAACATCACCAACATCCTAGGCTCCTGGATTTATTACGCGCATATCAAAGGTGATAAGAACGTTGTTGGACCCAAACTCCAACAGTTACTCCCATTGCCTAGCGATGCTAGTCAGCCGCCTCTAACACATATCGGCTACACGCACACTTATTATATAGCACCCAGGAACATTTCTCCATGGAGCTCCAAGGCTACCAAGGTTTGCGAAGTCTGCGGTCTCGCAGACCAGGTTCATCGAGTTGAACGGGCGCGATCCGTCACTCTAGAATTCGAGCAGCCCTTGAATAGCGATGAAATTCCATTCAAGGATTTACTGTTCGACCGAATGACGGAAACCATATCCACAAGCGAGCCAGATCTTGACTCAATGTTCATAGAGCGGGAGCCCTTGCCCCTGGAAGTTGTTGATATATTTTCCGGGAGTCAAAGTCCTCTTGATATGTTGAAGGCTTACAATGCCGAACATGGCCTGGCCCTCGATCAATCCGAAATGGAATACCTAGTCCAAGAGTTCACTCAGCTTGGACGACCCCCGAATGATATTGAGCTCTTCATGTTTGCTCAAGTAAACTCCGAACATTGTCGCCATAAGTAAGTAACCATAAGCTTAAAGCATGCATAGTACTATTACCTACCTATCTTCTCTTCCTCAACATAAGAATGTTGCTTTCATTCCATGCCTACCTTCACGATAGTCTTCCTTTGCTATTAGCCTACCCTTAGCTAGAAATTCGCATTAGCGAATACAACTAATAATGAACCGTAGGCAGTTTAATGCGAACTGGACTATAGATGGTATAACTAAGGATTCGAGTCTGTTCGACATGATCCGAAATACGCACAAGAAGACACCCGACTACACTGTCTCAGCCTACAGTGACAATGCTGCCGTCATGCAGGGCGAGATGGGAAGCTATTGGGCACCTGATTATGCAACCGGGTCATGGAAACTCAATAGAGAAGTCGTACATGTGCTAGCCAAAGTCGAAACCCATAATCATCCTACCGCCATTTCTCGTAAGTATCTAGCTGTATCATGGTTTGCATTTAAGTAAACGTAGTAAGTGCTAACTTCTGGTCACCATCAGCTTTCCCAGGAGCCGCCACCGGATCGGGTGGAGAGATCCGTAAGTCAATCTATAGTTTACCCAATTGCCATCTCCCAATTTCAAACCCAAACTTCGCAATATGCTATCAATTTGCTGTAAAAGGATATTAAGATATATTACTAACTTATCCCCCTTCAGGCGATGAGGCTGCTGTTGGCAGAGGCTCATCCACCAAAGCTGGTCTTAGTGGATTCTGGGTCTCTGACCTTTTCATTCCAGGTCATCATGCCTGGGAGACTGACATTGGCCGTCCAGCACATTATGCTAGTAGTCTGGATATCATGCTTGAGGCGCCCATTGGCGCAGCTCGTTTCAACAACGAGTTCGGCCGCCCTGCTCTTGCCGGTTGCTTCCGTACACTCTTAACAGACGGTACCAATAAGAGTGATTCGGACGCCTCAGAGGCGACAGAGTGGCGAGGTTATCATAAGCCTATTATGATTGCTGGTGGACTTGGCCGGGTCAGGCCTGGGCACGCACTCAAGAACCCGACTGATGTGCACGAGGGAGCTCATGTTATCGTGCTTGGTGGTCCCGCCATGTTAATCGGACTCGGAGGCGGTGCTGCGTCTAGTAACGCTTCTGGGGAAGGGACTGCGGACCTCGATTTCAATAGCGTACAGAGGGGTAACCCTGAGATGCAACGTCGAGCTCAGATGGTTATCGATGCATGTGTCAGCCTAGGAGATACGAATCCCATTGTAAGTTTTTTCCTGAACTTTTAATCTGATTAGATCACGGATTATTATGATCGGCGTCATGTTCATAGCTCGATATATACTATTTTATCACCTACTAACAGGCTTCTAGGCAATGATACACGATGTTGGCGCTGGAGGATTATCCAACGCTCTTCCGGAGTTAGTTAAAGACGCCGGTTTCGGGGGCAAGTTCGAACTCCGTCAAGTCGAAAGCGCAGACCGTAGCTTGAGTCCCCTTCAAATATGTAAGATTTTACGGACTTTTTCGTTTCCCCCCGTCCCGCCTATCACTATGCTTTCTAGCCGAACTCAACGAGGTTGCCACTTGATTATTTTGGATTTAGGGTTGCTGAACTGGATGGATTGCTAACCATTATGATTATAGGGTGCAATGAAGCCCAAGAACGTTACGTTATGTTAGTCAACAATGAAGGGATGAGTCGATTCGTAAGCATCTGCAGTAAGTCTCGGCAATTCCTAATATATACAATTGATATTAACTAGTAACCCAGGGCGTGAACGTTGCGGCTTTTCGGACGTCGGCACCGTAGTGTCTGAAGATGAAGACGGCGTGCCTAAGCTTATCCTAACGGACAGAAATGCGAAAGATAACGTAGCGTCACGACCTATCAATCTTCCGATGTCAACCCTATTCCCCCCAGGTCGCCGATTACAGCGCATAGTCAATTCCCAGAAACCAACTCTACCGAAATTCGAACCAATCGCTAGCTTAAAGGCTGCGTTTGGAGCCAGATCGACCGATGCTGAACTGCTGAGAAATGCTCTACAGAGAGTCTTTTGGATGCCAGCCGTAGGATCGAAGTCTTTCCTGATCACAATTGGAGATCGGACTGTTGGAGGCCTTACTGCACGGGATCAAATGGTAGGACCATGGCAGACGCCTGTAGCCGACGTCGCAGTCACGGCCACATCATTTAACTTAGGAATGAAGACAAGGCATGGCGAAGCAATGGCTATGGGTGAGAAGCCAACCCTTGCATTGATATCTCCTGCTGCGTCTGCTCGCATGGCGGTGGCCGAGAGCTTGATGAACCTGGCCGCTGCCGATATCATGGGCGACCTGCGACGAGTCAAGCTCTCTGCCAATTGGATGGCAGCCGTAAACCACCCGGGAGAAGGAGCAGCTCTTTACGAAGCAGTTGAAGCTATTGGGCTTGATATGTGTCCTCGGTATGTGTCAAATTGCGTTCTACATATTCCACCCCTTTTCCCCATAGTCTTCGCGATGTCGAAGTTCTTCCTTATTAGGAAAATTTATTAACGATTAATAGATTAGGAATCAGTATACCTGTAGGCAAAGATTCGACTTCCATGAAGGCTACTTGGAAGGACCGCGAATCCGAAAAGACTAAGAGCGTAACTGCTCCTGTGTCAGTCGTCATCTCGGCATTTACGATCGTCGAAGATATTAGAAGGACCTGGACTCCGCAACTTCGACGGGTTGAAGAAGTAGGGGAGACAGTCCTGATGTTCGTCGACCTTGCGAATGGAAGGAAAGCTATGGGAGGATCCGCCCTTGCTCAATCATTCGGTTACGTGGGACATGAGGCGCCAGACGTACGAGACGTGGATTTAATCACGGATTACTTCGATGCGATATCTCAATTGCACCAGAGTGGAGTTGTTCTTGCATATCACGACAGATCCGATGGCGGTTTAATTACTACGGTAGCTGAAATGATGTTCGCTGGACGATGTGGAGCTGACCTTATGATGGACGGAATTTCTAATTCTGGCTCGATCGAGGACATGGTCGACGCACTATTCAATGAAGAATTAGGCGCCGTGTTCCAAGTGCGAGCATCGGATGAGACAAACTTCAAGAGATGCTTCGCAACTTGTGGACCACCTCCGGGCTTGATTAGGAAGTTTGGTAGCGTACAGCCCAAGTCAAAGCAAGCGTTGACAATTCGGTACGGATCAACACCTTTCGTCAGCCTTGATAGAAAGGAGATACAGCAGTGGTGGGCGAAAACTTCATACGAGATGCAGAAGCTTCGAGACAACCCTGCCTGCGCCGAGTCCGAATATTCTATTATTCAAGACCAGACCGACCCGGGTATCTCCTACAAACTCACGTTTGATCCCACTGATACGATCTTACCACTCACAGCCTCTATAACAGGGTTCTTCGGCAAGAATCCTCGAGTAGCTATTCTGAGGGAACAAGGCGTCAACGGACATGCCGAAATGGCATTCGCATTTAAGGCAGCAGGATTTGACCCGATCGATGTCATGATGACGGATATCATTTCCGGTCGCTCGTTGGCTGATTTCGTTGGATTGGCTGCCTGTGGAGGCTTCTCCTATGGCGATGTACTTGGTGCTGGACAAGGCTGGGCTAAATCCATACTGATGCACGACAACTCCCGAAGGGAGTTTGAAGAGTTCTTCAAAAGACCAGACACGTTTGCTCTTGGAGTCTGTAACGGCTGTCAGATGCTGTCGCGAATAAAAGAGCTCATTCCCGGCACGGAACATTGGCCGATATTCGAAGAGAACACGAGCCAACAGTTCGAAGGGCGTTTCGGTATGGTTAAAATCGAAGATAACCAGAAGAGCCCTTCGGTGTTCCTCCATGGCATGAATGGTTCGGCATTGCCAATCGTCGTCTCACACGGTGAAGGAAGGGCTTCCTTTTCTTCACCTAGCTCATTACATGCTCTTAATGCGGGAGGAATGATTCCGATTCGATACGTCGACAATCACCTGAATGCCACAGAAAAGTACCCTCTCAATCCTAACGGTAGCCCTGGCGGTATTGCCGGTGTAACAAGCGAGAACGGTCGAGTCTTAGCCATGATGCCTCATCCCGAGCGGACGCTGGTAGCGGATACCGCATCGTACGCGCCACTAAACCTTCTCGAGCAGTGGGGAGAATTTGGACCATGGGTAAGGTTATTTAGGAGCGCTCGGAGATGGGTGGGATAGACGAGTCACAGAAAAAGTGTTTGTTTACCTATCTAGCATAAATCTTGTTCAGGACGCTCGCTGCCCGGATACATGTTAGCTCAACACGATGATTTAGCAATGCATGATGGCATCAAAATGAAACTTGCTATTAGACTCGAGACGCAGAGCAATGGTATCTACTTTGCTCCTGTGGGCTTCGCCATGGGTCCCATCTCAGCGGGTATCGCATCAGAAACTTGGCATCGGCTCGCTTAGAACTGGCCATGAGGCGACGGCGTCGAACACGAGGAAATGTTGGACGCTAGGGATCGCAATATGGATCGAGGTAGCGAAACGAAACAAGCAATTACATAGCAAAACAATCCGGGTGGCTGACGGATCGTCGTCTATGTGGATCATAACTATGTGCCGGTGCTATGCCCCTATCCTCTACATACATATATACATACATACTATACTCCATCGTCGATTTATACATAGCAGACAGGGGGTAATATCGACTCTGCCAGCAGCCGCAAGTAAGTAGGCAGTCTTGGCTTGGCTTAGGTAGGAAGTTGAGTCGTGCACAATTAGAGTAAGTAGAGTACCGAAGGTGACGGGACCATGGTTTAAGTTGGTTCGCGTCACGCACGTATGTATGTAAGTATGTAGGCAGGTAGGTATTTTGCTTGCATGTTCCATGTTCCGGAACAATTTCAATCCTTCCATCCAGATTGCTTGCTTGTTATGGCTTTCTTCCCTGATGCGGGAAATCAGCGTGCCAGAGTAAAATCCATCTACGATCCCGCTAGGTTCTTACGTACGGCGGTAGATGTGCAATGTGGTATTTATTATTAGAATGAGGTAACTACCTACATACCCCTATGCTAGGCTAGGTAGTGTACTTTTGAGAATATCTCTTTTGGGCGTAGGTTTTTTTTTTCTAAGAATAGTATACTACTACATACATACATACATACAAGGTATATATATACTACTACTACAGCATACCTAGCATGTAACACTGCGTTAGGTTATATACATAGGTGGACAAACTTGTTTACTTGCCGCCGCCGCAGTGTGAAGGTAAGTCAAATTATGGTCATACATACTTTATTGCTCACCTTGACCCCGGAGTTTTGAGAAACATACACTTAATATGAGATTGTCGTAGCGTGCCTCAAATATATAATACCTAATAGGTATTCGTATACGGTGAAGCGAAATACTATTCCGTACTAGTTTCTAGAACACTAGGTATACACATGTAGGCAAGATTCTCGCCTGGCGGGATAGCATTACGTATATGCCTGACATACGGCGTATCGCCTACGGCTATCACCTATGTATGTAGCGACTCGAAGCACAGGCGGGACGGGGGGATGCTGATCAATTGCCGATATTCCCGGTCTCCATGCGCGCCACGAGGGGGGAGGGGAGGGGAGAAGAAACGTGACGGAAACGTACAGCGCGTAATCCATTCCTTTCTCATCCTTCCTATCACGGGGCGCCGTCGCCTGGCTTAGCTGAAAGGGGACTCCCTCCTTATGTAGACCTATGTAAAACCTCAAGCCTCACCTCACTTGTGAACCTGTCGTTGATTTTTTTGGGGGGAAGGTCATCAGATATGTAGATAATACGTAGGTAGATATCCACTTTACGGAGATATTGTATGGCTATTGTATTGTATGGCAGCTTATTGTGCATAATAATATTGATACATAAGCTGACTGACTTACTGACTGACAGGTTTGTACGTCGTTGTGTAAGAGGGCGAAAAGAAGGCTGAGGGTAACGTACATACATACATACATACCTAATGTATAATACATAGTGTAGTGCTACATTACATACATATACACCATGTATGTATGTTCCACCATCTACGGACTATACTAATATAATTACAATCTCCATGAGGTAATCGCGTCGTCTATGTATATAGATAGGTAGTCAGTCTAGTTTGTCGTAGTGCGTATGAATGTATGTATGAATATATGTATGTATATATGTACTATACATATACGATACAGTATATAGAAATGTGACATGTCTGTTCTTCTTCCGCAATGGCACGGAGGTTCGTCTTCGGCAATGCTACTCTATGTACGAATGGGACTTTTGTCATCCTGGTTTGCGGCACATAACATGGGGCCCAAGGGTCAACCTACCCTTCCCACCCATCCATCCACACACAACCCCATCCACCCAATGCTATGACCTTGCAGCCGGGTATCTCGCCTCGTTTCGCCGAATGGCACGACCAAAGATACCCACGATTCGGTTCAGATTTCATTATTTTCGGCCTAGCGACGCTTTTGGCAACCTGCCATACCATGCCATGCCATGCCTTACCTTGCCATGCCATGCTTTTGGCTTTTGGCTTTGGCTTCGCGAAGCTTTCTAAGATATTTCCGCTTTGTATATCCTACATGCCATGCCGGCTACGGGATTCGTATACATATTATACATATTATATAGGTACCTACATATATGTCTACTACCGTGTCTGCACTACAAATACATACGCGTATACATATAACCTAGGGTTCGTATGCATATAATAGGCGGAGCTATAACGCCCAGTCGACTACATACTAGTCTAGACCGGCAAAAGGCCCCTATTATTTTATATTTTATTTCATTTTATCCTTCTCTCATCATACCTACCGAACCAGGAAACGATTTCGTCCTTTCGCTCGGTCGCTAAGATCTCACTAACTAGATCGCTTAACGGGTTTCATTATGTGCGGGCACGACACGTCACTTTTGGAACCTCGTCTCGATTCTGTCATGTACATGATGAATACACACATACACACATACATACATACGCACATACACTTATGTATGTGGTAGTATTGCGGCATCAGGGGAACGTGACAACCACCGGGAGATAAATAAGACGGATTAATAAACGTCCACGATGATGCCCCAGACCGAGTGCCGGTCCATCAGGGGCGCGAAATTTCGACCTTCCTAGCGAGTGCATTGAGAGTGTTGATCACTACTGCTTAATGACGCCACAGGTGCAACGCCGAGGAGTGAGGCGGGCGTCATTGGCAGGTTAGTCTCATTCATTGCAGAGAAGCTGAAAAGACGCATACGACGACCGACGAATGGTGTCTCGATCCATCTTCCTTGTGGCTTACCCTATGGCTTAATGGCTTACCCTATGGGAGTAAGAACCGTTGACGAGATCTTCGCACGTGCTGATCGCCCCAACCCGGGTCTTATTACTAGTTTATTATGCCGGGGTCCTCGTTGTCTCAAATAATAATAATAGGTAATAATCTCTTGCATGGTTGAGTCCCGAAACCCGGCCGGCACTACTCCCCCTCTCCGAGAGCCACACGGCATTAATCGCTCTTAATCGCCTGTACTGTACGAATACGATATCGACACGATATTATTTAACGAATGCCGAGCTGGTTGACTAATTAGTTGCGGGAGACTTGTCCCTCTTTAGACCCTCATATCTGCAGGGACGTCTCTGCTCGTCATGCGAGTTACTTTTTTAAAATCGTGGGGCGCCCCTTGAACCCCCAAGCCTCGGCCGCTTGTTCTGGACTCGGCTGCAAGATGAAATTGCATCGGTATTGCTCCTGCAGCTCCCCCCTAGGTACTCCCCTACTCCGGGGATTGCTTCATGAAGCGTACCCCTTTACTCAAGATCTCGGCAACTTCTTGAGATACCTAAATCTATTCCATCTTATTCTTCTAGTGTAGATGATGAAGATAAGTATCATGCCATGTTGAATTATACTGAATTGTACATAATGGGCGTTCAAGTTGATACGGACGCTAATAAGAGCAAGAAAAGAACATTCAGCTTCTGTATTGACCAGGTTACCTCCGCTATGGTTTATGCCATAAGCAGCTTAGGATAACAGCCTATTTCCCACAATATATTACCGGCGTCGAGGGGCAACGAACCGAATTGTGATAAAATGGGAGCGTAAAGTACCGATATGTATGTACCCACATAGGTGAGGCCTTTCATGCGCGGTGGAGGCTTTGGATAGTTACCTCGATATTGATTGCATGCTTCAGGGCAGCCGGCATTCGTCTAGGTAAAGGCAACTTTGTTAAATTAAAGCCCAGAAGTGTATCCGGTATATGGGTTTTTAGCGTTGTCGAGTTCGGATATGTTATTAAAATTAAGAAGGGTCCAGACAGGTTATGCAACCATCATAAGGAATACTAATATGATAACACGGGAGCATAAAACACGGAGCAGTCGTTCTTCATAAGCTGCGTATGCACAACATCCGAGGTTAGTCTAGCCTGTAGATCAATGGGGCCGGCCCGAAGATGCAGACAATGGCTCTTGTGCCGCACAATCGCACAATCCTCCTAAATCCTACAGGGTAGTAAAGAAAAAAAAGAAAAAGAAAGGCGGTGTTGGATCTCCTACATCGCATGTTGACTCTTTTCGTTGCATCTTTTCGTTGGATCAGCCCTGATCTCAACACATGATCCTATGCGGCTGCGCGACACAACGAGATCTCGTGAGGCTTGGTCGTGTGAGTACCTAGATAGGGTATGTAGGTAGGTAGGTATGTATAAGGTATGTATGTATGTATGTAGCGTTCGGTATGTATTGCTGACCTTGCGGATCTGGATGTCGTAAGAAAATAAAGATCCGGAGCCCACCGCAAAGATTGGATTACTTGTCGACTTGTGGATTACTCTAGACTCCTATCGGACACTTTATTTTAAAAAAACCCTACCTTGTCATTCGGTAGGATTTGCTGTATCTACCCGGTTGCGGTTGCGCTGTGGGTAGATTAGAGCCAAAAACCGTTACCATTCACCATAATACCCGTCTTATAATATATTATGTTCCATACTTCGCAGAAGCTAAAAATAGACACCGACGAGTTAACCCCGCGGGCGCCCGCCTTCTCGTCTCCTGTTGCTTAAATGCTTGGTTGCTTGGTTGCTGGTTATTGCTGGTTGCTGAGCCTGTCTTATACATAAGATGGCGTTATGTGTATACACATACATACCCAGACATATATACATTAGGTAGGTAT